AGGACCGAGTTTGGGCAGCCCTGATATATAGACGGACACGTTTATACATATTGTTCTAAAATCTTCAAAGCTATATCATGCATATTAATGAAGTTGCATCTCATACACAATAAAGTGCGCTGATTGGTTTAAACCAAGTCTTTCTCATGAATAATGCTGAAAACTCGATGTCACGTTGTACCCACCGGCACAGACATTCAGTCTACATGCTGAAATTTACACAGTGATCTCATCGCCTCATTTTTAGTGAAATATACATGTCCTAAGTGTTTTTAGCAACATGGGACAAATATTTGACTGTCAACATCTTAAAAAAAACTACAACTTTAAAATCCCTTATCCAAAAAACTTTAACAAGCACATAAAATTGAAAAACAGCTGTCACAGATAGAACTTGTAAAAAAAATAATTGAATTGAATTTATTTTCGCAAAATTATTATTATTTTTTAATAAAAGAGAGATATCAGAAGACAAAAACAGAAATTGGATCAACATGAGGTACAGTTTGCTCATCTTTTAAGCATTATTTTCCATGTCTCCTTTGACTCTTTTAAACAACACTCACCCCTCAGTGATGAACTGACCAGCTGTGAGGGATTCTGGGTCCAGACTGATCAGCATTGAATCATCTACACGCTGAAGACAGTAGTGATCACCAATAAGAAACTTTAAACTACATTAAGTTCACATTTTTAAAAATAATAATAAAAGAGCAACTCCTGTGTTAGAACTCACCCTCTTGACTGGGTTCTTGTTGTGTGTGAGAACGGTAAGCTCCAATGTAGAAACGTCTTTGCTCTCCCATTGCTCTGGCTCAGGCTCTTTTGGTGGCTCTGTCAACAAACAGAAACCATTATGCTTTAAAAGTTTCATGTTGTGTAATGTAGCTGTTTGAAAACCAACCTTTAAACTGTCTGAAACTAGCTTTATTTTAGCCTTAGCTTTACTTTCTGTCAAAAATAATCATTTGAACAATGGTCATCTACTGTATGGTCTACTTTGATCGTCAAACATTTTAGTTGAGTTGTTGTTTATGTTAATGCTGTTTGCACTTCCAAAGTATAAGATATCTGGCTTCAATTGAATTTAAGCTTATTTGTATAGCATTGTTCACAATAATTATTGTTCCAAAGCAGCTTTATAAAAGGTGCATGTTATTACATCGCAGTCAAATTTAGATGTTTTAGGAAATCAGACAATATCATTATTATTCACATTACTGTATGCAACTACTGAGGAAACCTCTGGAGCTGAAATTAAAATGTTAATTGGCATTTAATCTGCTTTGTAATCACAACACCAGAATGATCCATCTGAACAATCAAAGCAGAGTAAGCTCCCAAAAAGGAGGTTTAGAGAGACCGGAACCTTCAGTTAACTGTGTTAACCCTTGTGTGCTGTTGAGGATGTTCTTATCCACTCTGGGGTGATTTTAGGTCTTAATTTGGTTACAACTTTCTCTGTTTTTCAGCAAATCAAAGTTTTAGTGACAAATCTTACTTAATACACTCTGGGCAAATTTACTACCCTTTTGTTATGGTAGTGCCTGATTTTGCCCTATTGACTTCCATTATATGTCTGTTATGTTGCACTTACTTTGAGATGTCTGAGAAAATCAAAATAAGCACCTCAGCTCTCAGAACATAGTAAACATGGTAAGTGTATTTATTCAGGCATATTGTAATTTGTTGTTTTATTCCATAGAACTCCATTTAAAAGCCAGAAAGTTTTTTTTCCACAGGCCTACCTAAAGTGTCAATTGTGCCAACTGATGATCAACAATATAAATGACACATTTTACCTCTTTTCAACAGTGAAAACCACTAACAATCAAAAATTCATGATTATTTGGTGCCAAGGCTTGCCAATCAAAAAAATGTTGTTATAATGGAAGTCAATGGGGGAAAAACTGCCACTAACATAACAAAAGGATAGTAAATTTGAACAATACACAAGGGTTCAGATACTGTAGGAAAAGAGGTCATGCTGCAATTTATATGAAAAATATAATGTGTTTATATATTATGTTTTTTACCTTGATAAATGCAAAACTATTGGAGACCCCAAGAACAAAATTAGCACCTTTTTGGCTACACAATACATCTGAACCTGCTTCGAAACAATATTAGCAAACAACATTTAAACACTAGATTCTGCATTAAGGAATATCTGTCAGGTTACATAATACCTTCTAAAGGAGGGTTCCAGTAGTTCTGGAGTCTGCGGTAGATGCGGTAGAGGAGGTTGGGTCGCTGTGGTATTTCATCTGGAAGGTCAGGTGGACGAGGTACGGGAGCCAGATAGGATAGGGAAGCCACATGAACCTGTGGCCACTGCTGTAGGAGTGAATAAAATAGAAAACTGTTATGATGGTCAATAAAAGATTTCTTTAAATTAGAGATTTGAAGAGACGCATTTACCTTCAGGCTACTAAACCAATGTGCTGCTCTCGTCTTCAAGGGGCCAAGGTACCAATATCTTGACAACAAGAGAGAAATGACATTAAATCAATTAGTATTATACATCTGCATTTAAAATTCTTTCATATAAAAACATTAATAAGCGAGGCAAGTATATATATATATATATATATATATATATATATATATATATATATATATATATATATATATATAGCACATTTCATACACAATGGTAATTCAAAGTGCTTTAAATTAACAGGAATAAAAGACAAGTATAAGAAGATAAAAACAAATAATAGTGATTTAAAAGCTAATAAAAACTGATTAAAATGTGTTAAAACAGGTTATAAAAGAATGAAAAAAAGAAAGACATAATAGTGCGATCTGTCAGACGTAGCACAGTACTCGTACAGTAAAGGCACAGCTGAACAGATGTGTTTTATGATAGCATACTTGCTAATAGAAGTTGCTACATCTCTGAATGCACCCCAACGTAATCCCAACAGCGCAAACACTGGCTGCTCCTTCTCACCCTGAGAACAGCATTACACAGGTTTGTGTAAAAGAATTAATATAATGAATGTTGTCAAATCATCTCTTTTAAATCTCTTTTTTCTTGAATTTACCTTTATCTGCAGTACGTCCAGTGGAACCGTTTCTCCTTTTAAGATTGAAAGAGTTGCTGAGGTAATGTGCCTGAATACACAAAAACATCTAAATACATCTAATCACAACAAACATTACAATCAATTATCTTGAAGACTTAACTGACGAGACTTACTGTACTTTATTGTCAGAGACTAGATGCAGACTCTGACTCAGAGAGTTACTGGAACCCAGAGGGATAAAACCAATTGGTGTTTTACTGAAGATCTCCTGTGGGCAGAACAGTGCACATTTAGAAAACCTTTGTAAGATTTGTAAAATAACTAAAAGCTTTAAATCAGATACACTAGCAAATACCTCATCAGCTCTACGAAGCAGGCCGGTTATCACCTGTGTGAAAAGAATCCTATGAAATATATAACAAATTATATTTTTTAAAAATCCCACTTTGCAAAGATACTTTCATACCTCCTGTAACGTCCCATCACCGCCAGCGATGATCAGCATATCCGTTTGCTCCATCAGTTCCATGAGCTTTTTTGCCTGGCCTTCATAATCAGTCTGTTTCAGAAAATAAATCAATTACAAATGTAATCATACCCAAATAAACAGACTTACCACCTCATTCTATAGTAAGTATACCTTCACAATTTTAACTTCCACACCAGCCAGATGTAAAATGGGAGCTGCATTCTTCTCAAACAACTGATTCGCCTTGCTGCAGAAGACACATAACTATAACAACACAAACAAACTGACACAGCTATACAATCCAAGGAAAACCTCATTTGTGACACGTTGAGGGACACAATCGTACCCTTTACAGGCAGCAGGATTCAGAATGACTGTGGCTTTCTTCAGAATCTCCTGAGGTCCAATTAACTGTTGACCAAATGCCTGTGAAACCAGACCAAATATATATTTATGTAGTGAAACTTGGGGGAAATGTGGGTATGAAAGTTGTGACTACAACTAAAGCTACAAACATTTTGCTACAATGACAACAAATGAGCAATACGGAAAATAAATTAATTAATTAATCACATTTATTTGATATTAATTACATGCCAAGGCAACAGTTCATCTTCATTTGGTTTAACTTGATGTACAATTTTCTTAGAAAAAATGAAATATGTCTTACCCTAGCCTCTATACATGCTTCACGTCGCAGCACACTGTCACTGTGAAAAACAATTGAACAGTTAGACATATATCTGTCAAGAAGATAGATATATGATGGATAGATGGATGGATGGATGGATGATGGATGATAGATAGATAGATAGATAGATAGATAGATAGATAGATAGATAGATAGATAGATAGATAGATAGATACATAGATACATAGATAGATAGAAACTCAGACAAACAGATAATAAATTGGTGGCAGACAGAGAAAAATGCTAACCGAAAGACAGATAAAAAGATAAACAGACAGAAATATGTACTGTGATACACACCAGTGATTTCCATAGAGCCAGTGTCCTCCATATGAGAGCACACACACCGCAAATGTGGACTTTTTCCAATGATTTCTTAAAGTTCGGAACACTTTCACCACCCGAGCCATTATTTTTATATATACGGGCTTTCTATACAGCCGATATTTGCATGTCTAAATGAGCAAGAAGACTGAATAGAGCTCTTCACCGTTGACATTCCATTGATCTCCCAAAGCATGACCGGTGCAACAACAATATTCGTCCTCATGGGAAATTTCCGTTCCGTGTTCATTTAGCGGTAAATGTTAATATACAATAATTTTGAGTGTGTAATAAAAGTTAATTTGTAGTAATTTAAAATTTTCTGTAGTCGCTTCATGTTTTAATGTTTAATTGCTATCTCTATCATAGCCGGAATTATACTGCATGGCTCTTGTGTATAAAGTGGGACTGAATTTAGAGACGGACCGATTCCAAAGTATGGACTGTTATTATATATAAACAGACTAGACGGCGACACTCACTCACTTCTGTCAGTTATCAAATATTATTATTTTTTCAGATCATGATAGTTAAGTTGTAAAGAATCTGGCGAAAAATCTTGGTTACCCGTACCCTGTTTACCCAACTTAACAGCTATGGAGGTTGAAAATTTCGTTTCAAAAACTCTTGAGCTCCTACAAGAAGAGAGAGAAGCTGAACTGGAAGAAACACGGTAAATTACATGTCTATACACTTGTACACATGTTAATGTAGCCATTTATTTATGTTACTCGGATGTAATGTAAATATTACGTTTTAAATGATCCTTCTGCGCCAAATAAAAGTTACAGATAGGCTCATAGACTGTAGCATTAAAATGGCTTTTTTACATGTGCACTGCCACTGACACATTTCTTTAACTACCTGAGCAGTGCAGGGTCACTTTAAAATGGTTAAACTTCCCTTTTCAGACGTGCACATTTTTTTATACAGTATAAATACAAAGCAAACACTGTTATTCATACCAGTGCATGCATATAATTATAAATGGATTATAGGGCTGTGTGATTTGGCCTAAAATTAAAATCTCGATTTCAATAAATGAACAATTATTTTACTCATTTAATGTTTTTTTTTCCCTCAGAGTTCACTGACAAGTTATGCACAGTAAATATGCTCACAAATTACAAGTAAGAGGTTTCTGAATGAGGGGTACATTACTTGATTTGAAAGTAATTTAAGGAAACACATTTACTATCTATGATTATTTATTGAACATCATCACTGAACAACTGAAATTAAAACACACATTGCCTAAACAATTGGCTATAAAAAAAATGAAAAGTTGCACTTGCACTTTTGGAAACAAAATCAATCATTTTCATGCTTTTTATATTAAAAGTAGAAAGTAAGCAGTGTCTCATCTAAATAAAATAACTCTTGTATATCCTGTAAGTAATATTTTTAAAAGTGCTTTTCTTCTGTATGAAAAAAAACAAATATTCATTCATTCATTTTCTTTTTGGCTTAGTCACTTTATTAATCCGGGGTCACCACAGCAGAATGAACCGCCAACTTATCCAGCACGTTTTTACGCAGCGGATGCACTTCCTGCCCAACCCATCTCTGGGAATTATACACACACACACACACACACACACACACACACACACACACACACACACACACATATATATATATATATATATATATATATATATATATATATATATATATATATAAATCATTTTAGTGTGATATAATATAATATGCCGTCTCAATGGGTACAGTTTCCAATCATCGTCAATGTAGTGCAAAGTAAGGCTCAAAAATAGGTCTATTGTCCTACGTGACCAGGTATCATGTATGGCAACATAGTGGCAGCAGAAGTATAAAACAGAATGGGGTCACGTGACTCCACACACGGTAGGGAAAGTAATCGAAAAAAATCAACCTGGAAAAATTTGATCGATTATAGATTCTGAATGTCGATTTCAATTACTGTTTGATTAATCACCCATTTTTTGCATATAATAATAGTAATGCATCATTTTTAATTAATTTGGCCTAAAGTCCCCATAATCTGAAAACAGAAAAAAGCTGTTTTGCTCCACAGGCTAAACTTGTTCCAAAGTGTGCCACACTACTACAAATTAAACAAAACAAAAAAAAAAAACTTTTACAACATTTTGTATCCTTGGTAACAAAATAGAAGCTGGTTAACAAAGCATGTATGACTTTTGTCTGAAATATCACTGAGATGAAATTCTTCAGTTTTAATAGGTTTCAATGAGGATAGCATGTAGAAGGATTCAATATTATTAAGTATTTTTGTATTGTCAGCGCATGGCAGGAGAATGTGTCTCTCAAGAATCTACAGCACAAAGGAGTGTGTCTGATGAAACTTCAGATCGGAAGCCAGCACACTGGAATGTATGGCAGACTTCTAGTCATTTTTGAACCCAGGAAATGCATAGGGCTCTCAGTTCTACCCAGCAACACTTTTGGACCTGGTGAGACATTGATTTCCTTTGGAGTTTATGATCAATTTATAATTTAGACTTTTTACCCTAGTTCTATCACTACATAATCGTCTTTTGTATTGTGCTTAAAGGTGATATTATAGGCTTGTATCAGGCAGAGGGTCAGGCTCTGCCTACTCAGTTGGGGTCAGGTGTGGTGACTCGTGCTACTCAAGCATCTCTGACGGTGGCTTTTGATGACACACAGGATGGTACTAATTTAGACAGAGATGGACTCTACAACCTAATGAAACTGGCAAATGATGTGACCTACAGGCGGCTGTCAAGGTATGTACATTTATCACTTCATGGCTCAAAGACTCAACGTTCCATTTTGGTTTATGCAAAATAGTTTTTATTTAGATAGAAATCATTTTAAATGCAAGTAAAGTGTTTGCTTTAATAAAAAAAATTGGTGGTAAAATATGGGAGAAATAATGCTTCAGTGTCATAACATATTTTGATGTAAAAACTCAACAAAGCAGCTGATGTGTTTTGTACTTATTAAAACGTGCACAAATTAGGTGATCATACCCAAGTAAATTACTTATTTATACAAATATCCTAGTTTTTATTATATTAAAATTATATTGGCAAAATCTAATAATTTAAAATGACAGAAAATACTATATTTAAGTTGCACCCTGATCAGTTTGGCATATGAATTATTGTTAAATTAAATGTTATTTTAGTGGTTGTCTTCTGTGAAAAATGAATGATAGTCAGTGTTTTTTGTCAAAAAGTGTTTTTTGTTTCTTTTGTCAACTCTTTTTAATTTTACGCGACATTCTTATGTGCAATATTACATTTTCATAGTTTTGATTCTTCTCTTTAATGAATTATGTTTAATTTATGTTTTGGTCTCTTATTAAATGTCAGTGTTTTTTCCTCACTTAATATGATATCAATGTTCAGATGAAGACTGAGAGAGAACTTTGGTCATTATGTAATATCTTAAAAAATAAATCCAATAGTGGTCTAAGACTTTGCAATCTCTTTTCTACTTGCAGTGCACTAAAGTCTTTAAATGGATACAGCAACGGTCCTGCATCTCACCTGATCAGTGTTCTTTTTGGTTACTCTCAACCAGGGATCTTATCACATCTGTGTAAGCGTAAACTGCACATCAAGTACTGTTTGAAACAGATGTAAAATATTGCAGCTAAATAACACCTAGTACATTGAAGTTGTAAATATTTTCCTGCAGATGCATTGGAATTTAACAACACCAAGTTAGATGATTCTCAGAAAGAGGCTGTGTCGTTTGCAATATCTCAAAAAGATGTTGCAATCATACATGGACCACCAGGCACTGGCAAAACTACTACAGTGGTTGAAGTGATCCTGCAGGCAGTGAAACAACAACAAAAGGTGAGCTTGATAACATACTCTAAATTTGATTAGACAAGATTGATATTAATTGAGGTTGTATTTCCATCTAATAAAAAATTATGTTTTCCAATGAAGTAATATTATTAAAACATTTTGCCCATTAAGTTGTGAAACAGGACTTTAGAATCAATGGTGGATTTTCAAAAACAAGTTATAATATTTAAAAAAGGCACAGAAAACACTTCAGAAACACTTTTGCATAAATACCAGTTGTGACCGTGGTCCACAAAACCAGTCATAATTGGTTCATAATTGATTTCTTAATAAATACTTTTTCTAATGATGTATGGCTTGTTAAGATAGAACAATATTTGGTTGAGATAAAACTATTTGAACATCTAGTATTTGAAAACAGTCTAAATATTGAGAAACAAGTTGAGTTAAGAATTAAGTTCTTAACAATGCTTTTTTTTATTAAAAAATTACATATTTATATATTTATGGTACTAAATTCAAAAATGTCTTTATGGAGCTTGAGTTTTAGTTATTGTTCTAATAAATTTGGCCTAAACTAAAAAATTACCATTTTGACTCATGTAATGTCTACATTTTTATTAATTTCATTTTTATTTAAAATTCTTACAGACAAGATAATTACAAACATTATGTTAATGTTAATGGAAGAATATTAGTATATAACATTAAAAGAAGTTTTCCAGAAAGTTCTTGGCACAAATTTCTTTCACTTTTAGCATTTTAAAGTATTTTTAGGGTTTTGGTGTACTTTTTTTGTATATCAACAGGTCTTGTGCTGCGCTCCTTCAAATGTGGCTGTTGATAACTTGGTGGAGCGTCTGGCGAAGAATAAGGTCAAGGTTTTAAGACTGGGTCACCCAGCACGTCTGCTCGAGTCTATTCAGAAACACTCGCTGGATGCGGTCCTTGCACACAGTGACAACACCAACATCATTTCTGATATTCGCAAAGACATGGACAAAGCGTTTGTAAGTTTTTGGTTTCTCAAAATTGTTTTGATTTTATATTTTTAATGGTGAGTGACACGGTGGCTCAGTGGTTAGCACTGTCGCTTCACAGCAAGTCGGTTGGGGGTTCGAGTCCCGGCTGGGACAGTTGGCATTTCTGTGTGGAGTTTGCATGTTCTCATCGTGTTGGCGTGGGTTTCCTCTAAGTGCTCTGGTTTCTCCCACAGTCCAAAGATCTGTGCTATAGGTGAATTGAACAAACTAAATTGGCCGTAGTGTAAGTGTGTGAATGAGTGTGTATGAATGTTTTCCAGTACTGGGTTACAGCTGGAAGGGTATACACTGTGTAAAACGTATACTAGATAAGTTGGCGGTTCATTCTGCTGTGGTGACCCCTGATAAATAAGGGGACTAAGCCAAAGGAAAATGAATGAATGAATGAATGAATAAATGAATGAAGGAATATTTACTTAGAGATTACTTACCACAGCGCACATTCTCCCATCAAGTTTATTTTTATAGATAACAACCTTTGCTCAGGAAGTTCATTCATAAAGGAAACCTCTCGAGTGGACAGTTTTTTTTTTTAATGTTCATTTATTTCATTCTAGACTTTTACTTGTTAAAGTATAAGCTATCAATCAAAGGGATAAAGAGGCATATAGACAATTGTGTCTATCAAGCTTTTCAGCAGTTCTTTTTATCCAAATTGGTAATTCAGAGGCTCTATAAATTCGAACATCAGGCTTTGTTAGGATCTGATATCTTTTGTAGGCATCTATCATGGTCATAATTAAAAAATCTAATGCATTGACAGAATGAAATTAAGAAGGCACGCGACAAAGGCCAGCGGAGCAATCTGAGACGGGAAATCGGGGAACTGCGGCGAGAGCTGAGGACCAGAGAGGAAACTGCTATCAGTCAGATCCTGAAAAGAGCCGATGTTATTCTAGCAACGAACACTGGTGAGTAAATAAAAGCTTCTATACCGATCGTCGGTTGTATTTCTGGAAATGTTTGTTTGTTCAGGCTTAATTTATACTGAAACGTGATTGATTTGTGTAATACAGGAGCCTCTGATGACGGTCCTCTTAAACATCTTCCTAATGATCATTTTGACCTGGTGGTGATAGATGAGTGCGCTCAGGCTCTGGAGAGCAGCTGTTGGATCGCTCTGCTTAAAGCACGCAAATGTATACTGGCTGGGGATTACAAACAGCTGCCGCCCACTATCAAATCACAGAGGTATGAAGGAAAAGGAAATGTATCTCACAGTTGTGAATTATTCAGTTTATGGGGTCTATTCTTGACCCACCTTGAACATTTTAATTTCAGGGTGTAACTTTAACCACCGTAGAGCCTTACTCGTCAGGCTAAAATGACTGGGCAGTTATTTTATTGGACTGGTCTGTGTAAAGATTTTTGTTCAATGAGTTTGTCATTGCATGAATTTTTTGGTTTTAGACAGCTTTTTTTTTTGTACGTTTTTTTTTTTTTTTTTCCATAATTGTTTTCAATTGTTTTTGTTTAAACCTTAAAACATGGTAAAAGGTAATATGAACAAATAAATAATCATGGGGTACCTTTAAGATTTTTATTCAGTGTGTTTTTCATTGCATGGATATTTAGGTTTGTGATGAGAAATGCTTTGCATATTTAAGTGTTATTTATGTCTTTCACAGTGCTGCATCTAAAGGCCTGTCTGTCAGTTTAATGGAGAGGCTGATCAAGAAATATGGAGACTCGGTGGTTCGAATGCTGACCACACAGTACCGTATGAACAGTGCCATCATGCAGTGGGCTTCAGAGCAGATGTATCAGGGAAAACTCATTGCACATCCTTCAGTGGAGAAGCACTTGCTTAGGTATGTAAAAAAGTGTTTTTGTTAATGTTTAATGATTTAGGTAATTCAGGCAATTCTGTAATTAGTGGACATTTTCAGAAGATTTTCAGTTTTTATTTGAAATGTAAAAATTGCAACATTATGAAAACGTTTGTCACTTTTATGACTTTTATCAATTTAAAGCATCCTTGGAGAATAAAAAATGTATACATATATACACATGAATACATTAGTGGTGTAACGGATCACAGATCTCATCATTTAGATCACACTATGTTTTTTTTTAATCATGGATCAGACTATTTTTCAGATCAGCAAAAAAAGGGAGGAGACAGATATTATTTGCTTTTTACTTATACAAAATTATTACTGCAAAAAGCATTGGGTTTAACAAACATAACTTGGAACATGTAATTTAATAAAAATTAAAATCAAAAAGAGAAACAGCTGAAAAAAAGGAAAATATTCAATATGAAAAGGGATCTTTCCTACTGTTGCTGATAATGCTAAATATAGAAATCTAACGTCTTGTACAAATTTTCAAATATTCAGTTATTTTCAGTTAATGATTCAACAATTCACACATAAAACATCATGTTTTATTAAAGGTGGTTAATTTTTGAAAACCTATTCAGTGACATAATTTTGATGGTTGTTTGTCGCCACCTATTGTTTATATGTAATTGCTATAAAATTCACCAGCGTCAAGTTTAAATGTGATCTGTTAACTGTTATCACAGTACTTCTGTGTTAATAAATTGTTTGTAACGAAATGAAAAAATTAAAAAAAACGGAATTTCTCTCGATCAAACGCAGATTTGAATGCAGCGCTTCCAAGGATTAATAAACATTTGCAAATCATTATCATTTATCATTCAAGTTGGGCGGGTTTGAATTGAGATCACATCATCTTTTACTGTTTAATTGTGCAGCCTTACACTGAATGCATTCATGGAGGCTAAACAAAGAGTGACAGAAAACACCTTTAATATATAACCTAAGGAAGAATGTAGGTCCCACCACACCTTTTTCTATCATCATTATAGTTTACAGAGAAGCCAAAATGCTTTCATACATGTGATTTGAATGACGCAGGAGGCAATCTCTCTGGAACTGTTATAAATTTTGGATTAACCTACAAGTTCAAAATAAGTTATTAATCCGCGGGTCATGTGCTTTCCGAACTGTGGGTTGTGATGCGTATGAATCGCAGATCAACCATGATCCGTTACACTCCTATAATACACATACTCACACACACATTTGTGTGGATATATGCAAGTGCTGGGAAAAAATGAATCGCATCCAAAATAAAAGTTTTGACATAATATATCTGTGTGTGTGTAAATATATATATTTATTATATATAGTTGAAGTCAGAATTATTAGCCCCCCTGAATTATTAGCCGCCCTGTTTATTTTTTCCCCAATTTCTGTTTAATGAAGAGATTTTTTTCAACACATTTCTAACCATAATAGTTTTAATAACTCATTCCAATACTGATTGATTTTATTTTTGTTATGATGAATGTAAATAATATTTGGCTAGATATTTTTTAAGACACTTCTATACAGCTTAAAGTGACATTTAATGGCTTAACTAGGTTAATTATGTTAACTAGGCAGGTTTGGGTAATTAGGCAAGTTATTGTATAATGATGGTTTGTTCTGTAGACTAACGGAAAAAATTATTGCTTAAAGGGGCTAACAATTTTGTCCCCTTAAATGGTTTTAAAATAATTAAAAACTGCTTTTATTTTAGCTGAATTAGAACAAATAAGACTTTCTCCAGAAGAAAAAATATTATTAGACATACTGTGAAAATTTCCTTGCTCTGTTAAAAAAAAAAAAAAAAAAAAAAAAAATCAAAGGGGGGCTAATAATTCTGACTTCAACTGCATACGTGATACACACACATACCTTGAAACAAATCTACACAAAACTATTTTGTTGCAGTTGCATAGAAGTTTATATAATTTGTATCATACACATGTTTTATATCTAAATATAAATAATCGTTTTCTCATATATGAATCCATGTGTGTATTTATATATGCATAATCATTTATTCATTTAATTTATACACACAAAAAAAGAAAACTAAATGCAATCATGGTAAGCAAGTTAGATAAAAAAACAAAACAGATCTTATCGTCCCTCAACCCTTTGAATAGCATATATGTTTAGGTTTGCTAGATAACTTTGTGTTTCAACAGAGACCTGGCAGGTGTTGCGGATGTTGAGGAAACCAGAATTCCTCTTCTGCTCGTTGACACTGCAGGCTGTGGACTGAATGAGATGGAGAACACAGATGAGCAGTCCAAAGGGAATCAAGGTTAATTTCAGCTCCAAACAACAATTTAATTCTTTATTGGCTATGAAATACTTTCTTAATTTTGTCTTTCTCCTCTAACGCTCCACAGGAGAAGTGGATATTGTGGCTCTTCATATCAAAGCTCTTACCGAGGCTGGAGTTCAAGTCAAAGACATTGCGATTATTGCTCCCTATAATCTTCAGGTAAGATTATTTTCCTTCACCTAGTTTTAGGATGAATGGCAGTCATGCATTTAAAAAAAGGTGTGTTTGTGTGTTTTAGGTGGATCTTTTGAGGCAGAAACTGTCCCATAAATATGCAGAGCTGGAAATTAAGTCTGTTGATGGCTTCCAGGGCAGAGAGAAGGAGGCAGTGGTGTTGTCATTGGTCAGATCCAACAGGAAGGGTACAACAGGATTCTAATTGGCTTAATATTCTTGTTGCATATTTCCATCTGCATGTCAATTTAAATTTGCATGTCTTACTGAATCAACAGCTGTTTCAGCAGGGCTCTACAGTGCAACTAAATTTTACACTATAAAAATTACCTTTGATATTAATGAGGGACACTGGTGGTGTGACTGACTGGGCTCATGTACCATTACATAAATATAATCAGAAAAACAAATAAACTGCCAAAATGTGGTTACACTTACATTATGTTGCAGCATAAAATAAGATACAGCGAGGGAAAATAAGTATTGAACACGTCACGTTTTTGCCATGAACAATACAAACATAAAAATAAAACAAAACAAAAAAATTTGAAAAATTAATTATGGTTAATAACAATAAAATGACACAAGGAGAAAGTGCTGAACTACTGAAACGTATTTATTACTTTTATATAAAAAGCTTTTTTAATGAGGGCAACTTAAAGAAGCCTCTCATATGGAGAATAAAGCCACTTGCCCTGTTTAGTTGTGATTATTTATTTATTTTTTTAACAGACTTCAACTGTAAAAATCTTGATGGTTCTGTGGGTCTCGTCTGTCAAATCTGATCTTTATTTTGTATTCTATATTGGATTCAGATCAGGTGATTGGCTGGGCCATTCTACAGCTTGATTTTCTTTCTCTGAAAGCATTTGAGAGTTTTCTTGGCTGTGTTTTGTCTTTCTAAAATGTCCACCCTAGTTTCATCTTCATCATCTGATAATGTAGACATTGGACTGAAACCGCTAATACTAATTTACAATGATGAAGGGCAGAGATTTTTTCAGCTGCTTTTAGGGCTTTCACCACCTTTCTACACCTCCCTTTCTTCATGTGTTCAATACTTTTTCCCTGCATCTTTTTATTTTTATTACACATAACTAAATTTATAAACTAATTTGTTTAGTTTTCTTTGCTTATATGAATTTATTTGTTTTTTGCCAACATAAGGTGAAAGTCAACAGCACCTTTATAAATATGTTTTCAGAGAAAAATGGTAACATGTTTAATACCCCGCTGTATATAACATTGATGTTTATTCCAGTAAGCCAAGAGGCTCCAATAGTGGCATTTCTTTGGAATTTGTGTTTTGTTGAAATCTATCAAACCTAAATATTAAGTTTGATAAGATCGTTTTAGGTTTAATATTCACTGGATATTCACCTGCTTTAGGGACCTTCTGGCAATCACATCTACAGTGCAAGAAACCTAAACAAACCTGTCAAATTTTTGGTAATGAAATTAATTTCAGCTGGCCTACAGATTACATTTCATCAATACAATGTTTATTATGCATGCATTACTCAATTACTTTAGAAAAAAACAGTCATTTTATTTTAGATTCTTTAATTGACCTAATAACCATGTTCATTCATTCATTCATTTTCTTATCAGATTAGTCCTTTTATTAATCAGGGATTGCCACAGCGGAATGAACCACCTAAATGCCATTTTTCCTTTTCTAAAGTTTGTAGATAATTCCCAAAGGCCAGACTGACTTACTACTGATAGCATTTTACCACTATCTTTCCTAATATGTTTACAATACACTTTTTGTATATACATTCAGTTTCTGTAATTTTTTTTAATATAGGAGCACAAGCTTGACCTGCTTTAATGATGTGGGCATAAAGATAGCCTGTGATATTAAGTTTTATTTATTTATCTGACAGGTGAGGTTGGCTTTCTTGCTGAAGACCGAAGGATCAATGTGGCTGTGACTCGTGCCAGACGGCAGCTCGTTGTGGTTTGTGATTCTCAAACGGTTCGAAACCACGACTTCCTCAAATCACTAGTGGACTATATGTCTAAGCATGGAGAACTTCGCACCGCCTTTGAGTACCTGGAAGACTGTGTAGCGCAGAATTACACTCGTGATGAAAAGGACAAACAGAACAAAGGTAAAGACACCACATCCGCAAAGCAGAAGACCAAGAAGCAGGACAAGAAGCCAGAGCAGGAACACAAGAAAAGTGCAAACAACAAAAACAGTGGAGCCAATCAGTCCGGTGTTCATCATAATAACACCAATTCACACCATCCTAAACCCAAAGATGCAGATCAGACGCAAAGTAAAAGAAAGGAGATCAAGGAGCAACTTTTGAACTTTCTTAAAGATCCAGACAAGACAGAACTAGAGTTTCCTTCCACTTTAAATTCCCATGATCGTCTACTGGTCCATGAGCTCTCTGAAGAAATTGGTTTGAGGCACGAAAGCCAGGGAGAAGGGAAAAGCCGCCACATCACTGTGTCCCGGTCTCCATCAGGACTCGGTAATGAGCCTAAACCTGATAAACCAGATGAAGCCCCATGTACAGTTGCAAATGTACAAGAAGAGTCACCAAATAAACCCTCGCAGCCAACCGTTGATCTGAAAAGCCTACATTTGGAGCGCATGCGACGAGAGCAGGAGAAACGAGAGGAGAAAAAACAGCAAAAACAACAGAGTGCCAGACCGGAACCAAATTTTACTGCTAGTAAAAGCCAGTTCGTTAAGAAACCTAAAGGAACTTCCAAAGGTTTGTGAACTCTTATCTTTATGTCTGAATTTCTCAATACTTTCATCATCTGTGGCCTTTTCCATCTGGTATTAAAATGCATTGTCACTGATCTGGCCACAAGTGGTTCGCTGAGGCCTCTCGTTTACGGGTTTCATTGTGACCCTCATTTTATTTAGTCTCAACATTAAATGGGGGCTCGTCCAGGATATTAAAGATTCCTAAATTATTTGGAAGTGAAACTATATGCATTCTGATATATATCTTGAGTGTTGGATGGTGTGTGTGAGATAGCTGACGTTGTTCTCAGGCATTTCAGGCATTTCAGGCATTATGGTAGCATTTGACTTACAGACTTTTATTTTAAAACCGAGTTGGGAACAAATTGAAAAGTGCAGAAAGAATCGCTTACTGGTGATTGCAAGCCATCACACAAACTACAGAATGAACAAACCCATGTTATACAAGCAGGACAGCAAATTGACGAAAAGGATCTGTGGCAAAATATTTTTGAGAAAACGATTCTGCATCGTTTCTGAGATTTTTAAAAAAATGCATCACTGTTGTTAATTCCACATAACAACAGGCTCTAGGCTAGTTTTTAACCATACACTCAAATGTTTTATGTCATGAGATAAATGTAAACACAGCTTACTATAAACAGTCTTGTAATTCGCCTTAAACTTCCTAACTTAATTATTAATTTTGGTTTAAGTGGTATTTTATGAATTGGATGCAAGCAGAGAACAGCTGTTTCTAAAATATATAGCACCATCTGCTGTTATAAACTAAGCTTGGATCGATTTCTCGAATGATTTTCCCACCACAGCTCTAATTGCAACTTCGATTTTGACTACAATTAGTGCATTTAACTACAACACAGCTAAATAGGAGCTCGTTGTTTGGGTGCGCTTTCTAACAACACTTCCTGTAAAGATCTCTTTTGAGGCAGTGTTAATGCATTTGACTACTCGTGGACACTTAATACACTTCATTGAATATGTACACATAGACATCACCTTATTTATTATTATTTTTGCTTTGAAAGACACTATATACTATATAACTGCAGGTGTTTATATATATATATATATATATATATATATATATATATATATATATATATATATATATATATATATATATATATATAATGTCCGCCCTATACACCACTTCTTAACAATTTTGATTGTAAGCAGAGAAGAGCTGTTTTTAATATACATTGCACCATCTGCTGATAACTAAGCTCAAATTGATTTCTCAAATGATTTTCCCACCACAGCTCTAACTGCAACTTCGATTTTGAATTCAATTAGTGCATTTAACTACAACACAGCTAAATATGAGTCCGTTGTTTAGGTTCGCTTTCTCACAACACTTCCCAAAAAGATCACTTTTGGGGCAGTTTGAATGCATTTTGACTACATGAGTAGTCAGATGCATATTTGATACACAAATACACTTTATTAAACATGTACACAGACATCACCTGTTTTTTTTTTTTTTTTTTTTTTTGGAAGGACGCTATATACTATATTACTGCAAGTTAACTGTGTTTTATATCATGTCAGCCCTATACACAACTCCTTAACTTTTCGAATTTTGATTGTAATGCAATAATGTGCACCTTTTTTAAGCTTATTTAAACAAAAAATATTGTGAAAAGCTCTATAGAAATAAACTTGTATTGAATTGAATTGAATATAGTTGAATGAGTATATAATATTAAAGCAATCCAATCAAATGTGCTTTTGACAACCTCTGGAAGTGCTCAGAAGTTTATGGCGGTTAAGACTGTTTAAACATGGATTTATTGACATCATCCACTAGTGAAAAAATACATATTAATATCGGGTTTACAAGGCCACTGTCTTATACATCATGATCAATATGTATTTCTTTCATAGGAACTTCAAAGATAAAAGCAGGAGCCACAGATATTGCTGCGGCTGCCAATGGAGATGATGATTTTGATGCTCTCATCAATGCTGTGGTTAAAGCAGAAAGTGTGTGTGGTTTTGTGAAATGCAAAGCCAGTGTGCTGACGCTAGGACAACTCTGCATTTACTGTAACAGACAGTACTGCTTGAGTCACCATATACCCGAGGTACAACTTTTTATTAAAAGGGTGATCATATTATGGGGGAAAAAAAAATATTTTCAGATATTTTAGAGTGTGTTCAGTGTAACATTATAATAGGCTGTAAATTAAAAAACTCAACTTTGTTCCCTATTGAAATAAAAAAAAATTGACAGAAGTTTTAGTTTTGTTTAATAATCAGTAATGTTGTTCTATTAGGTTACTTAATATAGGACATTATAATGTGCACTCTTCTTTTTACATTTTATTTTACATTCATGGGAAATGTACAGTAATGAATGTAGAATAAAACAAAAAGGTGGCTGTTCTTGTGAATTTGACTTATAATGTTCTTTATAGATTTTCTTAATCAGAAATCAGGAAAATCTTAAGATGATGTTGCATGGATGAAGCTGGATACATGCTTTTATACAAGTCAACAAACATCTGAACAATTGATTTAGCAAATAATTTTGAACAGTTCCGGCATTCCTATTTCTCTCAGTAGTATTTGAAGTTAGAATTAGTTTCTCATATTCTGTATGTTGAAATTAGTTTCCTACAGTGTAATGTGCTGGTGTAGTTTTAACATGCAGTAGCCCAAAAATAAAAAATAGCAGACGTTATTTAATGAACCAGAAGAATATGTAGCACAGGGAGCTGCATGCTAAACAAAGGAGACTGAATTAACTAAAAATTTAAAATGCAAGAGCTAGGACAAACCAAATTTGGAGGGCAAAAATGATTTCAAGTGCATTTTCTCATCTTTTTTTAAGGCAAAATGGTTTTATTGGTCTTAAGTTCTGACAAAAATCATTTGAGTGTACACTATCTAACAAAAGTCTTGTCTATCCAAGTTTTAGGAACAACAAATAATAACTTGAATTCACGTTGAGCATTTGCTATGAAGTGGCTTACATGAAAGGCAAAGGCCTCTAGATTACACTTATTCTACCAAAATAAAATATGATCATGCCTTGATTTTTAATTATTTAATTAGGACTGTAAGGTCCGACTTTGCAAAAGGCTTGTAACTTAAACAGAAATAATGTACAGTATAGAATATAAAGTCATGGTGCAGTGGAAAAAGAATGAATATTGTGTATGACTCCCATGAGCTTGGATGACTGCATCCACACATCTCTGCAATGACTCAAATAACCCATTAATAAAGTCATCAGGAATGGCAAAGAAAGCGTTCATGCAGGACTCACAGAGTTCATCAAGATTCTTTGGATGCATCTTCAGTGCCTCTTACTTCATCTTACCCCAGACATGCTCAATAATGTTCATTCTGGTGTCTGGACTGGCCAATTCTAAAGCACCTTGACCTTCTTTGCTTTCAGCAACTTTGAGGTGGGGGCTGAAGTATAAGGAGGAGCACTATCCTGCTGAAGATTTTGCCCTCTCCTGTGGTTTGTATTTTAATGGGCAGCACAAATGTCTTAATACCTCAGGCTGTTGATGTTGCCATCCACTCTGCAGACCTCTAGCATGCCCCCATACTCAGTGTAACCCCAAACTATGATTTCTCCTTCACCAAACTTGACTGATTTCTGTGAGAATCTTGGGTCCATGCGTGTTTTAAACTTTTCCAAATGAACAACTAGATGTCAGGTTATTATTTGTTGCACTTACAACTTAGATTGATGACAAGACTTTTGTCAGGTAGTGTAGCTATAAAATAGTCCTTGAAACTCATTAAAAAACATTTAATAATAAAACATTTAATATATGCCCCCTTAAAACAATATTACAGAAGGCATTTTGTGTAACACAATTTAAGTAATGTATTTTCTTTATTTAGGTTCACGGATGTGGAGACAAGGCAAAATCTCAGGCTAGAATGAGGATAAGCAAAGAAGGAGTGCTCTACGCAGGAAGTGGACAGAAGGACAAATCAGTGGATCCAAACAAAAAAGCATATCTACAGAGAAAACTAGACTCTAAACTCAAAGATATGGTGTCACAGAGAAAAACAAAAGCCAAAGACAAAGAAAACTGAAATTCAATGAGACTCTTTTGATGCTTTTTTAATTGAAATGTGCTGGTAATTTACTTGAAAGAAAATGTATACAGGAATGTATAATGTATATAGGAAGATTTCCTCGCTGTAAGTTTAGGTGATTATTTATTACAGATACACACTGGCATGTTGAAATATGGGTTTCAGAATGACTTAAAATACACACTCTAATGCTAGTCTGAATCCCTGCACAAGATTTATGTCTTGCAGAATTGTTGTTGAGAGCTTTGGGGGTTGCTTTTCTTTCTCTCTCAGTTATTGATGCGTTATTATTTATGTCATTTATAATCTTTCTAAAGAAAGCCGGTTAAGCAGAGCCTTTGTGTGGGTTTGTTTAATGCTATATATAATACATTTTTCTGCAGCATACGCTCTGGCTGTTTGGTGTATCTTTCCACAAGAGGACACAAGAGACCCAGGCTGCGTTGTGAGCCTATTGGAAGCATTTAGTAGAGGTTTTGCATGATGAACACATTAAATGGGAGTATTACAGGTACAGTATGGCCTGTAATTCTTATGATAAAAATATCTGGGTTGTTTTAAACTTTCAAGTCAGAGTTTGATTTTCTTGCAGGATATGTCATTAAACACTGAAAGTGTTATTTTTGTGTGGTAGGTTGTGGTGTTTGTTTTGGTCAGGACACTTTTATTCACATTGTAAAGTAAAATGACAAAATATTTGACCATCATGTAATGTTCTTATAATCTAAGAATTAAGTGTAAATTCATAAGCATGGTCTGATTTAAACATTTAATCGAGTTAGCTGAACTGCAGTATTTGTATTACTGTAATTACAGTAGTAGTAGTCTTCTTTGACAGCCCTGTGACTTCCAGATGACACAGGTAGATGATACTCTGTGCTTGAAATGCTTGCCTTAAAATAGCTCAGAAATGTTCTGCCTCAGAAATAGCTCAAGTAAATGGTTACAAAATAGAAACATCCTAATACGAAACATGTCATGAGTCTGCTTTTTAAAATCTGGTTATGAAAAATTAAATGAGAAATACAACACACTCTGCCAAAGGTCTGTTTAGTGACTGATGTGCAAAATACATAAGCAGCATCAGGAATCCAACCAATCACTTTCTGGTCTTAGTGAGTGTAATGAATATATTATGTTTTACAAAGTGAATGAATATGCCAAATACTTTGAAAAACAAAAACATGCAAGTTTCCTGAAACTCACATATAATTATATGGTTTACAATAATGCATATGTCTGAGTTCTACTGATTTAGGCTAATTGCATCACATAAATCTGAGATTTTACACAAAAAATAAATAAATTAAATGGAGAAAACATTTTTAGACAAGCAAACCTTATTGTCTTGTTTTAAGAAATAAAACAAATAATGGGGTAAGCAAAATCTTTTTTCAAGGGGAATAACAAGATTATTTAGCTTAGCCTATTAGCAGATTATTTAGCTTGTTTAAAAAAAAATAACTTAATTTTGGCATATTATTTCTGTGAACAGGAAAATAAGTTTTGCTTGCCTATAAAAATCTTCTTGATATAAGGATTTTAGATATTTGGACTAGAAAGAAGATTAAAAAATTAGGTAAGAAAAGCATATATATATTTTTTTTGTAATGTAACTTAAACACATTTTTAGAAACTAATATTTAAATAAGTAGAAATCAAATGCAAAGACACTTTCTCAAAATCAGAGAACAGCAATGATTGTAGAACAAAGAAATAATGCAACAAAACCCCTGTCGGTTACAGTCAAAAATGCACAGACCCTTTTTTTAAATAAGCACAAATGTGGCTGCAGGATATCACTAATCTCTCAGCTGTGACCTTGATCACTTTTCCAGAGATTTTCAGTCCAGTGCAGGTCAGGACTGATGTGATGATCACTGATGAGCGATCCATGTTTGGATTAATAAAGAAAAGAAATACAAATTTTCTTGTGATTTTGGATTTGGAAAGAATTAGATTTTTTTTTTAAATAAAACTAATTAAGATTATTAACTAATTGAGATTGTGTTGCACGTTTCAAAACACATTGAGAGGCGAAGTTTGAATACACAAATCTGAAAATTAGACTGGAAAGGTGACAAAAAAGTTGTTGATTTGGAATATAGTGCAGAATGTGTATATGATCATTTTTGTTTATTTGTTTTGGATCCCAGGTGCTGATCGTACTATGTCTATAACTGAGTTGCTGCAGAATTTATGTATAAACGTTTAAAAAAAATTTTATATAAGAATTTATTATTATTATTATTATTTTAATCCTGTCGTGGGAACTAGCACATGATAGTCCATATAATGGGCATGTGTTGTGGAGGATTTTTGTAGTGAATTTAAAGGGAATTTCTTAAAATGTAAATTTCTCATCATTACCAATAGTTTGTTAGTCGTTTACAGTATTTTTTAAATCAAAATATATAGATGTCTAAATATGGATGTTTTTTTTTTTTTAGTTTTTTTATTTTAATTTTTTTGCTGTAAAAATGGGCTATGCAAGAGGCAGGTCCACATTCATGTGACAAAGGTGGGGGAAAAAAAGAGACGCTGCTCGATGCAGCTGTAATGTTAAGGTCGAAAACATAAAAAAAAATATATATATATGAGCAATATCACACTCGTAGCAGTGCGATATGGCTGTATATCGGCACTGGTGGGAGGCGTGTGATGCGGCCGAGTGCCCTAGTGCCCCCACCAGTGCGATATACAGCTATATCGCACTGCTACGAGTGTGATATTGCGTTTTTACAACAGTTTGATGGCATAATTGTGTATATAAAAACAAAATTAAACACAGAAAGTTTCAAAAACCCTTTTGTATGTGGAACTACTTTCTTATACATTGGATTCAAATCATAAGCTGACAGTTAAAACAGTTGAGCAAGAATCTTTTAAATTTTAGATCTGTAGTGTCTGCTTTTTGTTGGTTGTATGTGGACGGAGTAATACACAAAGGGTAAAGAGGCTGTAGGAGTTCTGATATTGCAGAATATCGCACGGCTATCAGCCAATCAGATTTGAGAACCAGACAGAACTGTTGTGTATATATATATATATATATATATATATATATATATATATATATATATATATAGAGAGAGAGAAAGAGAGAGAGAGAGAGAGAGAGAGAGAGAGAGAGAACGCATTTGGGTGAACCAGCTCGTACGTGGTCAAATGTCATTAATCTGAAAAAAAATACGGAGACAGGACAATTTTTTTCCTGAAGGGAGCTAAAGTCAGGTAAAGACCATTGTAGTTAGGGGGGTTGTGTACGCTACAGGAAGTTTGTTAATAGCTTTAACGTCACTCTCAAACATTTACAGTGGAATGGGCTTAATGTGTAAAAATTATACCTTTAAAATGTCAGATTATCTGTAGTGTGAAGTTTTAGTTTAAAAAGATCTTATTGACCTACAGTTTGTCTTTTACCAGTCTTTCATTTTCTCTAATTTTAAAATAATAATAAGCCCCATCAGTCAGGCTGCTCTTCCCTCAGGATTATATGCAATTTTTTTATACTCTTGTTGTACCTCTACAGCAACTTAAACTGTTTGTTTCTGTGAATTAGAATAAAAATACATTTGTTCGGATAAGTCATGAAGAAGTTTAAATCGAGGGATTTCAGGATTGTATTTTCCATTATTTCCAATGGATCTGCTTCTGCTGGCAGTACATGATTTTTGTGACGATGACATTCAAAAAGCACAGTTCTGCATCTCTCCCACATAAAAAACTTCATTTCTTTATTGTGTTTTAAGCAATGCTCCATCGATTTTACTATGAACTGCTCCGAGTTCTTTCTGAAGACATCTGAGATTATTTTTAGAGCCAGATTAATTGAAGGCCTGTGTGAGCACTTAATACGATGGCACAGAGGACATTGTGTCCATGTACATTCCCAATGTTTCTGAATGTAGAGTTTAGAAAGCTGTGTTTGCAACTCAGTGTGATAAGGACATCGAAAACATCTCAGCATGCATCGTAAGGACATCTCCCAACCAAATAGTTTTTCTTCAGCCTTCAGTGACTTAAATACATAAGTTTATAACCAGTGTTTTCTCTTTTAAAATCTTCCAATCTGCAAGTATTGTACCTTGTGACTGGGACAAAATAGCTTGACCCAAAGTTTAAAGTGTTTCCTTTTAGTGATGTCAGAAATGCCTCTGTTTTATCTCTAAAAACTTAATTTTCATGGCAAAATATATCTCACATTAGAAGATGATTCATGAGTCATACAAAAGACATACTTCATCAAAAGGAAACAACAAGAAATTTGTTTTATTGGAGATTTACCAGAAAAATTTAATTAAATTTATACAAGACTTGTTTAATTAAACAAAGTGTCCAGTCTCATTTTAAAAAGAAACTGCTGCATAAACATGCAAGTATTTTGAGCTACAAACGTGGAGGTAGTTATGACCTGTTTGCTATCAGGATGTAAAACAGTTTTATACAGCATGCAGTTAGTAAACAAGACGATTAGCTGAGGATGAGAAGGACAGTGTTAACAAAAAATGAAAGTATAAGTTAAAAGAAAAATAAATATCCAGCATTTTTACATATTGCTCCCATATATAACAATTACAAATCGCCGTGTTTAATGTATGGTGTTTTGGTGAGATATGTCTGTGGGTTTATTTTATTTTGTTTAAGATATATCATGGGTCTTGTTATATTTTTATTTTGTAAATGAAATAAAGTGGCAGAAAATACTGAACCACATTTAACAGTGTGATTTAAAAGATAAATGCACAAGACATCAGATTCTATCTGAAATCTTTACAAAGTAAAGAGACAAGAAAACAAACCAGGAGTTATGAATAGTTAATTGTTAATCTTTAATTAAAGAAATGTGAACATTTGTCAAACAATCGAAGAGATCATTTGTGTGAAAATGCATCAGTATATATATTGCAATGTGCGAGCATAGTCTGAATCATTTAACTTGATTATACCACCTTGGATATTTATTGAAAGTGCCCACAAAGAAATAAAGATAAAAACTAATTTAGGCCATTCCGATTAAATATACCAAAATATTTTTGTGCTATACATGTTGTAAAAAGATATACATTATGTAGAGATTCAAAAGATTCTATACTCTTTTGTGAATCTCTGAAGGTTATGGAGAATATTGTAGATTATTTTTTAAAGTGATATTAGCAAGTTTTACTTCTAACTGCACGTCCTATAATGAACTGAATAAAGAAATGAGCTACTTTTCACATTTCGATTTAACGTCAAAGAAATGAATCATGAGGAAAGAGAGTAATGTTATGCATTATGTATAAGTTCCTTATTAAAAGACATAAATAACTGTCGTATAAATAATTAACAAAATGTATAATTGGTCAAGTTAATAAGTTGAACACATGCCCCTGAATATTACAGTTCACTAACAAGAGGCCGTTAGAGACATATGAGTTTACTACAAGCTCAAAACAAACCTCAAACAAACTCAGCCAGAACAACATTATCTTTTAAAGTTACATTAATCATAGAACTTATGGATTATTTACACAATCTGAAGAAATTAAATAGAAAGTTATAAATAGACATTTTGCTCTGTTCAGCTGTGATAAATATTGCAATAATGTTCACAGAGGGAAACCGCACAATATGTAAATCTCTCACCTCTTAGATGAATATCCTGCAATGCTGCATGGTCCAATAAAAGGCTGTTTTTAATGTTTCATACACCAACACAGCATTAAAATGTCAGTTCACAGTAATATCTGTCTCTTTGTTGAACTAATCCATCTGCTGCATTTCCACATTTTTCCTAGCTGCCATAAAGACAGAATGGGAAAAACCTCCTTTTTTCCTCTCAGAGAGCTTCCTGAATCAAGACCCTGGAACTTGTGCTCGCAGATGGGTCACGCTGATGGGATTCAGCCATTTTGTCCAAAAGCAGGAGTACAGTCTCATACAAAACCCAGCTTCACTGATGAACGATGGCATTTTGGGCAGCCCTTTGTGCCGTTTGTCTGCAGACACCTGCATGGATGAACAGAACCCAGTGAGCATGCAAAAATAGCTGGTGGCTACAGAAAGTTATAAACACTAAACAACATCATATGATACCTGTCAACATTGGGATGTGAAAATAAGGGATACTAAGGGAACCCTTTGTTTGTAAAGGAAATTAAAGGAATCCTGCCCTTTTTATATTTCTTTTAAAGTGTTTTCATGCCCAAATACAATGAAAGCACAAAACAGATTCACATTTAAGAGCAAGAGGCGTTCCCTGGTGGTTCGGCGATATGTGTTGCGTATAAGGAGGATCAGCTCTATGGTGTTTATTGCCACCCATCATATAAAGATTCAAAATATGGAAGAAATACGGGAAAATACCTTTACGGGATAATAGCGGGATAGAATTGTAAAATATGGGAGAATCCCGAGAAAAATGGCAGGGCTGACACGTATGAACTACATACTTGAGGTGGAAGATGTGAGAGCAGGGCAAGGCCTGCAGCTGCTGGTTCTTCTCTCCGATAGACTCCCCACACATGCCGCAGTAGAGCTCCAGCTCCTCCACACACTGCAGGAACTTCACCACCTGCTCCCTTAACTCCTCCTGCTGCTCCTTACAGCGGTAAATGCCTTCACACAGGCTGTGCACCTTCAGGATACACAGCTGGAACAGAAGAGCACAGTTCTAATGTTAATACAAAGCAAGTGTTTATCTTCTGCAATGTTATGCCATCAAAATCGAAATGAAAATGAGATGTTTGTCTCCTATTCTCACGTAACAGATGCTTCACCTTGTTTCCGATTGCCTCGGCGAGATCATTTGCTCTTTGCAGTGAGTCCAGAGCCTGTGGTAATACAAGAAGCACTCAAACTAATGCCAGTTGAGATATTACATACAGTCGAAGACAAAATCATTAGCCCCTGTATAACATGTTATTCTTTTCTAAATGTTTCCCAAGTGCTGTTTAATGGAGAGAATTTTCTTCACTCACTTTCATTCTGCTCATTATCTGCTTTATCAGGGGTGAACAGACAAATTTCTCTGACAATTGTTTTACACAGCGGATGCCCTTCCACCCATGCATTCTCCAATTTACACACTACAGCCAATTAAGTTTATCCAATTCATCTCTACCAAAAGTCTTTGAATTGTGGGGGAAACTGGAGCACCCATGAGAAAACCCACACAGATATGGCTAATGGGGAGACCATGCAAAATCCACAAAGAAAGGCTTCCTGGTCCAGCCAGGACTCAAACCAGTGACCTTCTTGCTGTGAAGTGATCACCTAGCCTCCATGCCACCCCCAGAATTTTCTTCAGCACATTTTAAACAATAGTTTTATTAACTAACACATTTTTCTTTATAATTTTGCCATTGTGACTGCTAGTATAATGGCAAGATACTTGTGTTCTGCCTAAAGTGCTTAACTGTAGGTTAATTAGGCAAAACATGTTACTTAGGCAGGTCATTGGACAAAAGTAGTTTGTTCTGTAGCCAAAAAATGGGGGCTAATTTGCAATAACTTTTAAAATAGAATTAAGACTATCCTCAGAAGAAAAATATGATGGAAATACTGTGGAAAAAATGTATTTGCTCTGTCAAACAAACACAAAAAAAAATTTCACAGGGGCTAATAAGTTTGTTTTTAACTGTATATGTTGATCACAAATATTCACACGTTATCTAAAAGACACAATTAAATCTTGACCTTATCATATTCCTTCTGCAGAATCCAGCACTTCCCCACTCCTACATAGATGGATGCTTGTCCAAGGCGGTTGCCAATCTCTGACATTATGCACATGGAGGACTCATAGCGAGGGAATGCTTTCTGTGTTAAAGGTGAGGGCATAAAGAGAAGCATTGACATAGGCAATGGAATGCTGCGGCAGGACTACTTGAAAAATAATCATGATTATGGCTGCCACAGTTAAGCATATAGACATATGTAACTCAGTTGCCACTAAATTAGGTGGTCCCCAAACTTTAGCTATCATATAGATTGGTCTGTTTAAAAATGAGCATCAGAATTGAGAAGAAAGGTCGTGACTTTGAATCTGGCAGGGTTGTTGGAGCCCAACAGGGCAGACACTGCTGATCTACTAAGGTTTTAGGCACAATCATTTTTAGGGTTTACAGACAATTGCGCAAAAAAGAGAAAATATCTGAAGAGAGCTCAGAGAAGAATAGCCAGACAGATTCGATTTGATAAAAGGAAAACTGAAACTTACACTAGTTATCTAAAGTTTTAAGATATACAGTTAGGTCCATAAATATTTTGACATTGACACAATTCTAACATTTTTGGCTCTATACACCAACACAATGGATTTGAAATGAAATGAGCTTTAGCTAGAGACTGTCGGCTTTAACTTGAGGGTATTTACATCCATATCAGGTGAAGGCTGTAGGAAATACAACAGTTTGCATATGTGCCTCCCACTTGTTAAGGGACCAAAAGTAATTGGACAGAATAATGATCATAAATCAAACTTTCACTTATTAATACTTGGTTGCAAATCCTTTGCAATCAATTACAGCCTGAAGTCTGAAAACGCATAGACATCACTAGACGCTGGGTTTCATTCCTGGTGGTGCTCTACCAAGCCTCTACAGCAACTGTCTTCAGTTCCTGCTTATTCTTGGGGCATTTGTTCTTCAGTTTCCTTCATTGCTCAAGTTTCCTCAGTGCATGCTCAATCGCATTCAGATCAGGTGATTGACTTGGCCATTGCATAACATTCCACTTCTTTCCCTTCAAAAACTCTTTGGTTGCTTTTGCAGTATGCTTCAGGTCATTGTCCATCTGCACTGTGAAGCATCGTCCAACGAGTTCTGAAGCATTTGGCTTAATATGAGCAGAAAATATTACTTAAACACTTCAGAATTCATCCTGCTGCTTTTGTCAGCAGTTACATCATCAATAAATACAAGACAACCAGTTCTGTTGGGAGCCATAAATGCCCACGCCATGTCACTACTACCACCATGCTTCACTGCTTAGGATCATGAGCATTTCCTTTCCTTTTCCATACTCTACTCTTCCCTTCACTCTGGTACAAGTTGATCTTGATCTCATCTGTCCGTAAGATGTTGTTTCAGCACTGTGAAGGCTTTTTTTAGAACTCTAATCTGACCTTCCTGTTTTTGACGCTCACCAATAGTTTACATCTTGTGGTGAACCCTCTGTATTTACTCTGGTGTAGTGTTCTCTTGATTATTGACTCTGACACACATACACCTACCTCCTGGAGAATGTTCTTGATCTGGCCTACTGTTGTGAAGGGTGTTTTATTCACTAGGGGAAAATTTTTTGATCGTCTACTAGAGTTGATTCCATGGTCTTCCGGGTCTTTTGGTGTTGCTGAGCTTACTGGTGCGTTTTTTTTAAAGAATGTTCCAAACAGATGTTTTGGTCAGACCTAATGTTTCTGCTACCTCTCTAATGGGTGTGATTTGTTTTAATGGCTTGCTTGACTGATAGTGAAAGCTCTTTGGATCTCATCTTAATAGTAGTCAGTAACATCTTCCTAATGCAAATAGCACACTTGTAATTGGAATAATGAGGGAATAACACACGCCTGGCCATGGAACAGCTTAGAAGCCAATTGCCCGATTACTTTTGGACCCTTAACAAGTGGGAGGCACATATGCAAACTGTTGTAATTCCTACACTGTTCACCTGATTTGCATATAAATACCCTCAAATTAAAGCTGACAGTCTGCAGTTAAAACACATCTTTTTCATTTTATTTCAAATCCATTGTGTTGGTGTATAGAGGCAAGAATGTTAGAATTGTGTAGATGTCCCAATATTTATGGACCTAACTGTGTGTGGAACTAGCATCTGCAACAAATGAATGCTGCTATCATACTGTGTCTATATTGAGCAAAATCTCAGAAGAATGTTTCTAACACTCTGTTGAATCAATGCCACAAATAATTGGGGTGGTTCTGAAAGAAAAAGGGACCTAAGTCCAACTTGATAATAGCAATTGTACCTATAAAGTACCAATCAATTATAAGTAACATATTTGTAAGGATGTTGGGCATTCCAGCATAACTTACATCAACATCTTTCTGACAGCGATGAATATCAGCAAAGTTGAGCAGACACAATGCCTGAAGGGGTCGATCTCCATGCTGCAGTGCAATCTTCATTGATTCCTGAGGGGGGAAAGGAGTTTATCCAGTATTAATTAATGTTTGTGTTGTCATCCACAGTTTACTGAAATTTAGCAGAGGTTTATATTATTACTTTCAATGCTCCCCACATTATAATTTAAATATATCACATTTAATTTTGAACATCTTGTGCATGTTTATAAATTAAAGCATACAAAGTTAATAATAATAATAATAATACCTTTTATTTTTAGGCGCCTTTCAAAGCACTCAAGGACACCTTACAGCAGATTACAAGTACATCATAAAAATACAAGCAGTAAAAATGACAATCAGCATAAAATTAAACCAGCAAATCATTTAAAGCTATCCTAAACAAAAACGTCTTTATCTGAGATTTAAAATTGGAAATAGAGTCCATCTGGCGAATGTGCAAAGGCAGGGAATTCCATAACTTTGGTGCTGTACAACTAAAAGCCCTGCCTCCAAATGACTTCATCTTAAAGTGTGGGACAGATAACAGTTCAGCAAAAGATGATCTCAGTGAGCGTGAAGGAGTGTACAATTGAAGAAGATCAGAAAGATAGTGAGGGGCCAGGTTATGAAGAGCTTTTTATGTTAAGAGGAGGATTTTGTATTGTATACGATAGTGAACAGGAAGCCAGTGCAGGTGAAAGAGAATTTGAGTTATGTGATCAGAAGTACACGAGCAGGTAACTTTCCTAGCCGCTGATTTCTGAATCAACTGTAGTCTATGAAGTTGTTTATCAGGAATACCAGAGAGAAGCAAGTTACAGTAATCAATCCGTGATGTAACCAAAGCATGAACAAGCACTTCAGTACTTTGTTGAGATAGTGAAGAGCGAAGTCTTGCAATGTTACGCAAATGAAAAAAGGCAGAACGTGAGATATTACTAATTTGAGAACTAAATGAGAGCATGCCATCCAGTATAACCCCAAGACTTTTCACGTGGGTTGAGAAATTGACTGGGGAGTTATCAACAAACAGGGTAAAAGATTGAGCTTTGGATAAAATAGATTTTGAGCCAACCAAGAGGGCTTCGGTTTTACTGGCATTTAACTTTAAGAAATTATTAGTCATCCATTTATTAATCTCATTTAGACATTTGGTAAGGTCAGAAGGGGGGTGCGATGTTGTAGGTTTTGTGGAGATATAAACTTGTGTATCGTCTGCATAAAAATGAAAATGTATGCCAAAAGAACGAAATATATGACCTAAAGGTAGGATATAAATAATAAATAAAAGTGGCCCCAATACTGACCCTTGAGGAACACCATGAAGGACTGAAACAGGATCGGAGCGTCTATTCTTTATCTGCACAAACTGTTTTCTGTCACTTAAATAGGAAGAGAACCAGCAAAGTGCGTTGTCAGCTATTCCTATAGAAGCCAGTCGTTCCAATAATAGTGAATGACTAATAGTATCGAAAGCCGCAGTAATATCTAAAAGAATAAGTATGGACAGGTAACCAGAATCAGCAGCTAAAAGAAGATCATTTACAACCTTATTGAGGGCTGTTTCTGTGCTGTGTTTAGGGCGAAACCCAGATTGAAAGTGCTCATAGATGTTATTAGTAAGCAGATGTGAGTGAAGTTAACCTTGCTTTGATGTCTTTTGTCAACATATGAGTAATATAGTAATACATATACTAGTATGCAGTTTTAAATTTAAAAACTGTATTTTTTGATTTGTATTTGAATCATGAACTCATTTAATTAATTCAAATTACATATAGGATGGAGACACCACAGTGTTGATTGCAGGGGCAGTAGGTCAGACAATATTGTGTCTAACTTGAAAGTAACATGTATTTAACATATTTATTTCTTTGTTATATATCATTTCATAAATTCCTAAATACATATAGTAAAATGAGGACAAAAAAACAGAACTTTCTGCTACACATTTTTATATGTATGAGATGTTGTATCCAGTGGTGTAAAGTAACAAATTACAAATACTCAAACTACTGTAGTTGAGTAGTTTTTCACAGAAATTGTAAATTACTAAGTAGTTTTAGAAATGTTTACTTTTACTTTCCATTGAGTACATTTTTAGTGCAGTATTGGTTATATTACTCCACTACTTTCCTTAAACCTGCAGTCGCTACTTTATTTTTTCTTGACTATGGGGATAAGAAAAATCAGTCCTGCGAGTCCAATCAAATCATTTATAATAGGTAAATCGCATCGTAATGAACTACCTCTAGACATTGGTGATTTATAATTGAAGCAAACTGTTTGGAAGCACTAAAAGTGTCCAAGACGATGTTCAAAATCTTTACGTGCAAGGATCAAGAGACTGTTTAGATGCATGTCACTGATGAGAAAATGACAGATGTTTACTTTATGACGACCGAAATGGCCTTAAACATCCAGCAAGCACAAGACGTCAACATGATATCAGATTGACATTGTACCCCAACATCGTGGCGACGTTGCCTTTTGTTTGGAAATGAAAATCAGGTTGACGTCAGAACTTGACAACGTTAATGTCCAACAACCAACCTAAAATCAACCAAATATTAATGTCTAATGATGTTACAGCTTGACGTTGTGTGAACGTTACTATAATGACATCTATCAGATGTTGGTTTTTGGTTGTCATACCTAATGAATAAATGTCAGTACTAGATGTCAATATGACGTTGGTTTAAGATGTTGGCTCGACATTGGATTTTGGTCACTTTCTAACACAACCTAAAATTACCCAAACATCAACGTCAATTGACTTTGTTATTGGAAATTAAAATAACTTTGTCCTTAAACCCAGGCTAGACATAGAATTTTGGTCACCTGACATTATGACCTAACCTAATATTAGCGTCTTATGACGTTGTGTGTCTGCTGGGCAATAACTCAATGCACTACAGAATGTTACGTTTAGCGAAAAACTCACTACTCACTACTCTTGAGTACTTTAAAAGTGCTACTTTTTACTCATACTTTGAGTAATATTTACAACAGATACTTTACTCCACTTGCAATACATTTTTAAACAAGTAATGATACTTGAGTATGATTTTTCAAAACATTTATAAAAAATAAAAATAATGTATTAAATATATTTTAAATTGGAGAATAGATAACTGCCCAGCTCAAGTCTGTAACAGTATGTAGACTTGGTATTTTAAACCCAAATATCTGACCTAAAACCAGATACTTGCCCACCCAACTTAAACAACATACAAAAATGAAACGTTGCTTGACAGCTGGAACATGGCCCGTGTTAATCCCCACTGTTAGATAGTTATAAATCACGGCTGCAGACAGCACATTGTGACAACGGTCACAGTCCAAAGCAATGACCGGCTGTGATATTTCTCTCCTCGTCATTAGCGTGGGGCAAAGGGTGAGCTCTGCTCTTCATTAACACTGCTCTCAGACGGCACCTCAGCAGGATGGACTCTCGACTGGCGTATTTTTATCAGCCATAGTAAAGGGGGCTGGTCAAGAGGGCTGGCACAACCAGTCCTACAAATAGCTGCACCTGTCAGTTGTGCCATAGGCCGAGCGGCAGACAGTCAGAGGCCAGGGTTACGCCAAGGGGACTGATAAATATGATCAACATCCTGAGGGATTAAGGTGATGCTGCCTTAAATTCGTTCAGGTGATCTGTTTCCACTTTAAGATGTCCATATCTGTGCAAAGTACTATAAATATATTTGCTAATTGCCAAAATATTAAGCAACTTTAAAAAGAGCAAAATATTACTGCTGATAAATGATTTTTGCTGCTTGTTCGAACTACTTATTTAAAATGAGTTGAAACAAGACAATTCTTGAGATTTCTTTGGGACAACTTAATTGTTTTATGTTCAGTCCACTTACATTTGTTAAGTTAACTTAATCTGTTTGTGTTGGGACAACATGTGTGAACTGTGTGGAATCCTGCATTTTTTTACAGTATATAGAATAAACAACTATCAGAAATCATTAAATACCTAAAACCAGAAGAAGGTCAAATTAACTCATGCACATTACCACTGTCTTGAACAGCTTTTTTTGAGCACTTGTAACACTTTTACTGCATTATTCACAAAGTAATTTCTACAGTCATGAAATGAATATTTTTAATCCTCAACTATGGAGCTAAGATAACCCAGAATGCATCGCTCATAGCATTTATTGCCACTAATACCTGTTTAATCCCTCCATGGCCTGGCCCCTGAATATATTTCTGAGATAATTAATATACATCACCCTGTGAGATCTCTTCGCTCTAAGGATCGGCTCTATTTGACAGTTTCGCTATCATGCTTGAAATATCGAGGTGATAGAGCTTTTTCAGTAGCAGCTCCAAGACTTTGGAACAATCTTCCAATCTCCTTAAGAACATCTCCTACTTTGGAGTCTTTTCAGAGGTCACTGAAAACATACTAATTTTGTACGGCACTTTGGGACCCATTGTGGTTGGTTAAAAGTGCTCTAGAAATAATTGAGTTGAGCAATAAAACGTTTCCTTCTTTTATTCTTTTGTGACTAAAACTAATAGAAGGGCAATGCAGTCAGCAGACTCAACCTCATAAGACGTTAATATTAGGTTAGACTTAGGTTGCAGGCATCTAAGAACAGCATTATTTTGTCCAATAATTTCATGAAATGATGTTGATATTTTGTTGATTTTAGGTTGTGTTGGAAAGTGACCTAAATCAAATGTCAAGCTAACATCTTAAACCAATGTCATACTCACGTCAAATACTGACATTTATTCATCAGGCATGGCAACCAAAATCCAATGTCTGATAGACGTCATATTGGTAACGTCCACACAGACAAGACAATGATATTTTGTGGTTTTAGGTTGTGCTGGAAAGTGACCAAAATGCAACGGTTGTGTGAGATTAGAGATTAAGTCGACCAGGGGTGCGTTTCCCAAACAATGATGTAACTCGTGGCTGAACTATCATGGTATGATGCATCATTTGGGAAAAGAACTATGTAGTGACGAGTGTTTCCCAAAAGCCGCAGTTTCTCTGTCGTTTGAACCAAGTTAGTTATGATGTAAAATGCCCATAATGATGGTAACAACTTCTTCAGAGAAGAACCCCATATTTTTTTGTGCAAATTATATTGGTGTAGAATTTGACACATGCAAACCACTGCAGAAATGTTCTAACCAACAGGCCCATGCCATATACAGTAGGCTACATTTCTTAATAAATAACCTACTATAAAATAAAAGCATTAACGTATGCTATGTTTTTTGTCTTCACAAGCTTTAAAGCAATGACTGTAAAAAGTATACTACCTTTAGAGACATAACATGAATTATGCTCAGCTGTGTTCAAAATGACATCAATGTTTTCAAAGTGCATTGCAAAGGGAGCACAATTGTAAACCTGAAGATTCCTAAAATTGAACTGTAAAAATACTTTGAAAGCGAATTACACCTTAGAGAGATGAGTTTAATGCTTTTTTTAACATTTCAAGGTTAAATGTTAGAATGTTCTAAATGAATAATGCATGGGGGGGGGGGGGGGTAACTGGGAATAGAACACAGACAGGAACTATGTCTCCAGCTACAGCTCCAGAGCTGGTTTCTGACGTCAACACAATTTTCATTTCCAAACAAAATGCAACGTCCCACAAGGTTGGAGTACATCAATCTGACGTTATGCTGAAGATTGTTAAAACATAAGTGTGGCAATAAATCCATCAGAAAAGTCAATTGGTAACACTTTACAATATTAGTACATGAATAATATTGTTATTATTCATGAATAAAGTGTTATTATGCTAACTAAACTTTATTATGGACTAATGAGGAATAAATTAACTAACATTACCTACAACATGACTCACATTAGTTCATGTGTGAATAACGGCTACCTTAATTTTTAGTACATGCTTGTTTGTTAATTGATGTGTAAATTACCACATTAGTTTATGCTTAATTTAACCATCATAATCTCATGACATGTTAATGTATGAATATATCATGAATTTACTTGGAGGAGCACATCATCCTTAACCCATTATTAACTACTCATGAACTCCTTACGTGCATACGACTACACTAAATAGCAATAGAAAGTGTTCTGTCAACATCAACATCAACAGTTTAACCACAGGAGTTCATGAGTAGTTAAGGATGAGTTCACTGTGATGTGCCTCTTCAAGTAAAGTATAATAAACAATAACAGCCTATGAGTTCTTGTTGGTTACATTTAGCTTAAACCTCAATGTTGTTTAATACACTAAATAACAACATGAACTAACAAGTAATTAAGGTAGCCGTTATTCCCACATGAACTCTTGGGACTCATGTTGTAGTTAATGTTAGTTCATGATTAGCGCACGCCTTAACTCATCATCAATTAATAGTAATGTTTAGTTTACATACATCATTATTCATGTACGGTTATTGTAAGACGTTAATTTGTCCTGTTGCTGATTATTGTTATTTTAATTCTTCATTATCTACACAATTTCTAATAACATGCGCTGATAAGTCACACAATCTTAGTAAAGTCTAGGACTGGAGGTTTAGATATTTGATTGAAAATCTGTTATGTACATTTGACAGCCGTGAGTAAATGTTACCATGGCAGAGTTCTAGTGATAAAAATGGATGAGGGGTCATAATTAGATGTCTGTACCTCACAGCATTCCATTGCATCTGGTAGGCGCATCAGCTTCTTGTAGGCTACCGACATATGGTACTGACTCATGGCACGATACTTCAGACTCCAGCCCTTACCGTAATCATTCACCAGTTCAGCTGCTTTGCACGGAAAGAAGAGCGCTTTTTCAAAATCCTGCAAAAAGCACAAAATATGCAGATATGGACTCCTATTATTAGAAGCACATAATATAATGTGCATAAATGATTCATGTTCCTCAAGTAATAACTGAATTTCCACCTTTCCCTGAAACCCTATGATGCTTTAGTGAATTATTAACTTCCATTAAACAGTAAACCACAATCAGTCAAGAGTTTTGAAAAGCTGTGTACTATGAGGTGGCATTTTTCTCTTCAAAGTTCATCCATCAAATGCCAAGATGCAACTTATTAGCATTACCAAATTACATGTACATATACTGTACTCTAGGGTTATCGCGATACCATTAATTCATGTTACCATGCTACACCAGCTGAAGTATCACAGTACCAAATATTACTGCAATATTTATCTCAAATTATAAAGAAAATTGACAGAAATACTATATTATAACATGCCTACTTGTATTAAATTCAATCAAATTAAAAAAAGTATTATTTTTGAACGTCACTTCAGCTAAAATGTATTCATTCTTTTGATAATTTGTAGATACCTGGCCAACAAAAAATACACTGAAATAAAGATACAAATTATACCAAACAAAGTTTGTTACAAAAAGAGCCTTATTCCAACTAAATTAGGCTATATGAAGTGGTTAAAAATAGTTTTTTTTTTAAACAGAAAACATCAGAAAACGTAGAACCTTAAAGGGCTCCACAGACTATTAAGATAAAATGGTCTATTGTTGCACAAATGTGTGCGCTTAATGACTTTTCCACATGCAACAGTTTTTATTGATAGACTATTAATGACGATACTACCGTTTACAAACTATAGTGGCACCGCCAGAATTTTGGAGCCACAGTATCACGATACTACCATAGTACCGGTAAGCCGTGCAACCTGTACTTTATGTAATACAAAGAGAAAGTAATCTGGAGGAACAAAACACAGTGAATTTAGAAGAGCTTTGGCCACAGATAGGCTTGTGATATTAATGCCAAGTTAAAACACCGGGCATAACTTTATTTCATGATAGATGAAAGTAAAGCAGTTTAGTTTACTTTAGTTTTGCTTGCAAGAGATGCTGGTTATTTTCCACTTTTGACAATGAAATATTCATTTATTTTGTTTGCAAAAAAAAAAAAAAAGCTAGTTTCTTTTTAAAGAAACTTTAAAAGTAACTTTGTTTTTACTCTTAGTTCATAAATCAAGTGCAATGATGTTTTATGTAAATTTTGGCATATGGTGTATTTTTCTCATTTCTTAAATGATTGATTATTTAAAATAATTTATTATAAAATTAATAATTGTTAAAGTTACTCATCTAGATTAGTCATATAATCAATAAATTAGTTGATTTAAAGTCAGTGTAGTGTCAGCCCTATAAAGCACAAATCCAAACATATCTTTTCACTATATTCGGTATATGGATTTTTTGTCGCACAACCTTATTATTTAAAGTGATTTGTTTAAGTTCTTTTGAATGGAAGTTTCCAAAATCCTAAGTGCGACCCAAAATTTTAAACACAAAATTTTTCACATGTAGAAAAATGCATATCTGATGAATATTAGAGAGTATGTGAAAGAGAACACTAAAAGCAACCAAGCACTCAGTGTTGATCATTTCCCATGTGGCAGAGAGATTTAACTCAGGCACGGCTAAAAGGGGTCATCTTATTATTGCTCCTAGTAGCACTGACATTCTCTGCATGCCTCTCCATCACATACTTATTACAGCAGGCCTTCCTGGGAATCCAGGGGATTTGCTCACTTCAGATCTCTAGTGTCAAGGTGAGTACAAATGCCTATATCTAGCCAAACCTGCTTTGTCTGACGTGCAATTGGATACATTGTGCACAGCATGTAGGCAGGTTTGTTAGTCATGTAAAAACTGTTTACTGCTCTTTCAGTGAAATAGAGCTTAAATAACCGTCAGCAAAAGGAATATGAAAAACATTCACTACAGTGACAATTACAAATGGAGCATTGGTAAACGCACATGCTGTTTTCTCCTTTTTTTTAGAGAAATCAATATTTTTATTTACCAAACATACATTAGTGCATTTAAGATTATTTAAACTATTATTTTTTTTTATTAAATGCTTTAATTGAAATCAATGTATCATAGTTTCTACAAAAAAAAATTTAATTACATTATAATTAAGGTTTCTTGAAAACGAAAATAGAATTGTTTCGATAATGGATAACTGAGGACTGAAATACGTTCTGTTGCAACTTCAGCTTTGAATCACAGTAATAAATTATGGATATTTATATTAACATATTAAATGCATTAACACATTTTTATTTGTATCAGTATTTGACAAATTTTTTTTTTTTATGAAACAAGTGGCTTTTGAAAATAATCTTGACAAAACAATTGTTTGACTGGTAGAGTTCACTGCAGTTAAATGTGTGGACACTCTTGGGTTAATTTATATTTATTTATTTTTATTGATGAGTTGATTGTGAAAGAAATATGGAAAACCACAACAAGTAATAAGCAAAGCTGTAGAGCATGAACTCCTTCAGTGAGTTTGTCAAGTTTAATGTCACAAGTCACCATTCAGAGTCCAAACGCTCTATCAGATATGTCAAAAGCAAACAACAAACAGACCTGCAGTTTGATGTGTATTACAGAAATATCAGATCTTACTCTTTAATTACCATACTGAAATCTCAAGTGTCAAACAATTATCTTTTATGTTTTAAATGAATAGACATAAAGGTCAGTTGACATCAAAATAATAAATTAAACAGAGGCAGTATTCCTTATATCACAACTTAACACGCAGGTACAAAAAAAAAAAAAAAAAAAAACCTCCCAAAATGAAGCTCATCAAGTTTATTAACACTTTAAAACAATGTAATCTAAGTATGAATCGATTAATCATAGTTCAATATTTACTAATGCATTACTAAATCTGAAGTTGAGCTTGTTAAGTCAGTGATAAAATATATCAAAAAGATTGTTATAGCTAGCAGAATAAAGACTTTTCAGGCTTATACGCAGCTTTATTCTGTGAAAAGACCATCCTGGGTGTACTTATTTGTTTTATTAAACAGCTGCTTGCCACAAACATAAAACTTAGAAACAAAAATATATTGTTCTGAGCCATAATAGTTTATTAATTCAGTGGACATAACCAAAAACAGTCACAAGTCACAAGAACAGTGAAAAACTCAAAGCTGACTGTAATGAAACTGACTAAATTAAGCATATTGATCTTATTCTGCAATGCCGAAGTGCACTTGTTTTAGATTTTCTGATTCCGTTGCCTAAAAACGCCCAGGAATAATGAATGGCCGAAAACTGTGTTTGCATGACTATACATAAAAAGTAGACTAATATAATAAGAAAATATCAGTTTGCAACAACAAGCAGCACAACAAGCTGTTTTTAACGTCTAAAAATCAACGGAAGTCAATGAAACCGGAAGTCTCGAGCCAAAAAGATTCCAATGGCTGCACCTGCTCAGACGTTAAGGATAACGTCAATACTAACCTGTGTATTAATCATTTATAAGACAGCACCAAACAGTCAAAAAGACAGACAAGCAGATATAGGTAAATGGATTTGAACATGTTCACTGACAGTCAAGGTGATTCGAAGTTCCTGGATAAGCCTGTGTTACATAGCAGTTGTTATCTCAGAATAGCATACCTTGGAATGTTGCAACCAATCAGAATTAAGTATTCCAATCGACCAATTACATTAGTTAATCACAGTGAGTTGACTGTATTTTTTAATTAATGTTAACAAATATAAATAAATACTGTAATAAATGTTTTGTTTATTTGTTCATGTTAGTAAAAAGCTTAACTCATTAACCAAATCGACCATTATTTTAAAGTGCATTTCTTTAGTAGACAAAGATTTGACACTTTAAAGAAGCCTAAATGTAATTTTTACTCTGCAAAATTTCCATTTCCATAATCCTCCATTCATTATCTATTAAGTTTGATAACCTTATACTCTCCTAAATGCTCCTAAACTCTAAAGTGCTGACTTGTTGTAGCCCAATATTGGGTCAAATATGGACAAATCCAACGTTGGGTTGGTATTATCAATTAAATTGAAATGACACTTTTAAGAATGTACAACTATTCTAAATCATGCAAACATAAATACACACATACACAAAAAGATAAATGAGATAGTAGTTGTTATACCTTAAGCTGGATGTAGAAGTTGCCCAAACTGCAGCAGACCCTGCACTCCAGCATCTTGTCGTCATTGTTGTGAGCATATCGTAGGGCCTTCTCATAGCTAACTAAGGCCTTCTGGAAAACACTTAGGCCCAAGTAGGCATTTCCCATGCTTAAGCACACTTGCCCATTGAGTTGCAGGCTAACAGTGGTGCCTTGCATGTTTAAGCAGGTCTCACAATATGAGACCGTCTTCTGGAAATCGCAAAGCTTCTCATTGCTGCGTGCCAGGTTCAAATAGCCCTCCGTCAGGTAGTCCGGATCCTCCATCTCTCTAGCTGTGTTTATTTGAGCGAGGGAGAACTGATGGATGATTTACATGTACATGAGGGAAGAAAACAATAGAGATTAGTTCATTCATTAAACGATTTTATCAAAAAGTACAGATAATAATTAGATAATATACAAAAAAAAGAAAAAAAAAATCATTCAAGGGTTGCCCATCCTATTGCAACCTGATATTACAGTAGACAACACAAAGTACTAGTGCTAAAATTGTTTTCATGCCACAACAGACATCAAGCATACTTTATTATTATTATGTGAGAGCTACAGTTGTTTAAACACATCATAGTGCAAATGAAGTCTTTGCTGAACTTGGGAGAGCAGTTCCCTCTGCTAGGAGGTTTATGTCAACAAGATGCTCAGTGCTGAGGATCATGTTGCTAGTAGCTCTCCTTACCCTTCATGTAACTATGGAAGGTATATATTATATGCATGTTATGCATTGGTACATATTTCAGTAGGTCAGAAATCTGCATCCCTGGGGTTACCAGCAAATTAGTGCAAGCCATGTCTTTGGTGCATTTAGTCATTTTAAAAATGCTGGGTTATTTCAACCAACACCTGGCTAAAATATGGACAACTGCTGGGTTACAAATTTAAGGTACATTTATTGTCCAACTTTAACCCAATGGCCGAGTTTGTCCATATGTTTATGAAATTTGCATTGAAATGCATAAGAATTGTTTGTGTATGACTTTTGAAAAAATGATTTTTATTGGCACAATGCAACTTGCAAGTCAGGGTAGGTCCACTGTTGATTGTCTTTGATAATAGTGGAAAACAAATCTGAAATGCTCATTAGTGTTGACACAAATAAATACAGTAAGAAAGCAGAAGAAAAGTGGCTCATACCTGTAGCATCTCCTTGTATTTTCCCATTTCCGAATGTGCTGTTATCAGACACCCCAAAACCCGAAACTTCCCCCCAGGATCAGATGTCTTCCTTAACACTTTCATCCAAACATATAAAGCCTTTTCTGTGTCATTAGACTGGTAGAGCTTCAGTCCCTTCTCAATCTGCTGTTTGGTTTGGTCCTGACCCATTTCTGCTACAAAGTCCCTCATAAAAATAACCATCCGTCTGGCTCTTCGGCCCTCTGGGGAAGTGCAAGCGTACCTTTCTTTTGTGTCTTTAACTACCAGTGCACCAAAACAAAAGACGCGTTAGCCAAAATCCACCCCAGAGATCCTCTCCCTCTTGCGTCACTGCTCCACAACTCTCAACTTTGGGTGTAAAGAGTAGTTGAGGAAACTGGATCTACAGCTTGCAAGGTCTTCAGAGTCCAGATCTCCATTGCTGATCACTTTAAAAGAACTTCATAAGAATCACAATACCATGATCTTGTGATGTTAAAGACCCAATCTTAGTCCCCTCGAACGAAAAAAAATTGACGCTAAAGGAATAAGTCCCAATCCAAGGTGCTGGCAATGAACTCCCAGAATATCTACTCCCTCCACACCCGAGGGGGAGGAATTCTCTATACTCTCAGCCCTCCACAAACCACCCCTTCATCTTTCTCCTCCCTCCCACTGCAGTGCTGGCGCTACAGCAGATGGCCTTGTCACTCTGGACCATGTGTCTTTGCTGGAATCCAGCTTCAGCCTCTGAAAAGATCCAAGGTCACTAAAGACGCTTATCCACTGATCTTCATACCAAGACTAGTGCTGTTCACCTCCACATCCGCACTCCGTCAAGAGGCTGAAGCAACTATGGGCAACCCTGAAGTAAAAATAATACTCATATTTCAGCAAATATTCTGAGGATCGGACATGATGTAAACAAGTCTAAAAACAGCCAGATATTTCACAACAGTGAGGCAGAGTGAGCTGAGTGCTCCTCATAGAGGGTGGCAGTTCCTGTGGGTGGGCCTTAATAAGCCTCCCAGCCCCCCAGCATTGGTGTCAGCAACTGATGCTTAGAATAGTTCACAAAGTCGGACATGGTATTTGTCTTAAGTTACAGTACCGCTGCTTCTTGAAACACATCAATGGGATCGAATTGTCGGTTTCCCGACTAAACCTGGCTTTCTTTGGCCCTTCCAGCCCCCTTTACACCCAGCTTCATGGATACAAATAGGGAGCATTTACTGCCTTGCCATTCACAAGATGGCTTATCTTACCAAAGTAAACATCTAGTGGATGTAAGTCACGTCTTTGTTATAACACAATTCCTGAAATGCTAACACAGCCTTTGGGACTGTAATATATATAAATCAAAATATAAGCTAGAAAGCACAGTAACACAAGTGTTTATGCTATGTTCACCTTATGTAAAAATACCATCATTTCACTGCTATAATTATGTCAACCAGCCATAGCTCTCCAAAAATTCCCAGTTTTAATTGCAAATGCTTTTCACCAATTAGAATCTCCTAATTATAACATGACATGAAAGCAACTTTATTATTTCGAGTTAAAACCGAGTTTTAGGAAAAAACATACTTCTTACATATTCTACCTGCCATCCTATCACCAATCCAAATTTTAGTAATAACAAATATTAACTTGACTTCTAGTCGATCATTTGCTATCAGAAGTGGCTTATATGAAAGACAAAGGTGTCTAGATTATGCTAATTTTACCAAAATAAATTTATGTACATTATAGAATATAAAGTCATGATGTAGTGGAAAAAGAATTAATATCGTGCATGACTCCTATGAGCCTGGAGGACTGCATCCATACATCTCTGAAATGACTCAAATAACTTATTAATAAAGTCATCTGGAATGGCAAAGAAGGCGTTCATGCAGGACTCCCAGAGTTCATCAAGATTCTTTGGATTCATCTTCAATGCCTCCTCTTTCATCTGACCCCTCAAAAATGTTCATATCTGGTGACCAAGCTGGCCAATTCTAGTGCACCTTGACCACTTTGCTTTCAGAAACTTTGATGTGGAGGCTGAAGTATAAATTTGCCCTCTCCTGTGGTTTGTGATGTAATGGGCAGCCCAAATGTCTTGATACCTCAGGCTGTTGATGTTGCCATCCACTCTGCAGATCTCTCACACGCCTTCATACTGAATGTAACCAAAAACTATTTTTCCTTCAATAAACTTGACTGATTCTTTGAGAATCGGGTCCATGCGGATTCCAGGAAAAATCTACCTTCTGCTACTTTCCCAATTGATCAACTAGAAGCCAAGTTATTATTTGTTGATCTTACAACTGGAACAGATGACAAGACTTTTGTCAGGTAGTGTACATATTATTTATATTCTGTTTTTGGAATTGCTGTCGCTTGAAAATCAATGTTCCCCCACATAATAATCCACAACAATTCCCCATTTATGTCATAATTTTGTTGTCCTCAACCGGTAAGACCTGTAAATTGCTTCCCCTGGTTGAATTTATTTTAATTTCTATAGCGTTTTTACAATGTAAATTGTGTTAAAGAAGTTTAACAGATGAAGTTCTAGTAAATTGAAATAGCTTCAGTTTTTAGAGTAACTGGTCAAGCTTAGGTCATTCTGAATGTGTATGTAAACAGGATCCTAGGTTATCTTGCTTCAACAGTTAATCCTGGATATTTAAATGCTTGCATTTCACACTGTACATCCCTAAACTCCAGTTCAACATCTTTATTTAGAGGTTTCTGGCATCAGTGTCATAAACAAATAAAAGTACAATTCTTTAAACAGTGTTTAGAACAGCAGTAACAAGCAAAGATGTTTTGTTGTTTCTACCGTTGTCAATTTTATAAAAAACATGCAGACCAAAACATAACTGGGCCCCACTGATTTTAATTGGAAGAATATGAAAACTTTTCTTCTTTCAGAATATCTTCTTTTGTTCAGCAGAAGAAAATCAGAACTCAATTCAGTTTAATCAAGCTTAATATTATTGTGTGGCTCACAGTGGCTAGAACTGTTGCCTCACAGCAAGAAGGTTGCTGGAGTCTGCATGTACTCCCCGTGTTTGTGTGGGTTTCCTCCGGGTGCTCCAGTTTTTCCCCCAAAGTCAAAAAACTTGAACTAAGTGATTAAATAAACCCAATTGATCGTAGCTTATGTATGTGAATGTGAGAATGTATGGTTGCTTTCCAGTGCATGTATCCAGCTGGAAGGGCATTCACTGTGTAAAACATGCTGGAATAGTTGGCGGTTCATTCCACTGTGGCGACCCCTGATGAATTATTGAAAATTATTGAACGAATGAAATTTTTTATTGTAACTGTTTACTCAAACCATGAAATGCATACGTTACTTTATGATTTAACTCAAAAGAAATGTTAATTAAATGTACAGAGTTGAACACCACAGACATTTATTTTAAAAAAATTCAGTCACTTCAAAGTCATTTTTAGTAACAATATTATGAACCAGCCTCAAAAGTTCAACAAGAACATGCTTACTTGCATCTCTGGCAGATGTCAAAATTGACTACATCTTTATATACTGTACGATGATACGAAGTAAAATGTAAACAGTTGTAAAATACAATTTGCAGACCAGCAGAAGGAGGAATCCAACTCAATTTATACTTAGCAGACATAAACCTCTGACAAATGGGATCTGAGATGACAATTGAGAAAAGTAGGAAGATGAGATTTCTGACAAGTGTAGATTTTTCAAAAGATATCATAACAATTGTTATATAAATGGCCCCTGACCATTAACTTCTTGAAGATGTTTTGCATTGTTAATCTGTAGAACATTTCCTTATGTTCAGTGCATCTTTGCAGACATTTAAAGCACACCATATATTGCATATCATCCCTCATTAGGGGGTGGCTACTACAGTCGAAACCAGTAGTTTACATACACTGTATAAAAAGGCACATAACCATTTTTAAAAAGGTAATGTGACTAAACTTTTTCTGTTTTAGGTAAATTAGGATTATTAAATTAGTTTCTGCTATGCTTAATAGCAGAATAATGGAAGAAGTCAAGTTTACATACAATAAGATTATTATGCCTTTGAAAAAGCTCAGATGATGGTGTCAGGGTTTTAGAAGTTTCTGATTGGCTAATTGACAACATTTAAGTTAATTAGAGGCACAACTGTGAAATAGTATTTTAGGAAAACCTCAAACACACTGCTTCCTTTTGTGACAACATGGGAAAATCAACAAGTCAGAATCAACAACAACAACAACAAAAAAAAGCCAGATTACAATTTGCTAAATTACACTGAAAAAGAATAATTTTTGAAGACATTTTCTGTGGTCTTATGGAACCAAGATTGAACTGTTTGGCCATAATGACCAGTGTTACATTTGGAGGACAAAAGGGAAAGCTTACAAGCCTAGGAACACAATCCCAACTGTGAAGTATAGGAACGGCAGCATTAAAACCTGGCCACATATAGGTCTTCCAAACAGACCATGACCCTAAGAATACTGCCAAATTAGTTAAAATATGCTTTAAGGACGACAGAGTGAATGTTTTGGAGTGGCCATCATAAAGCCCTGATCTCAATCCTATGGAAAATTTGTGGGCAGAGTTGAAAAAGCTTGTGCGAGCAAGACAGCCTACAAATCTGACTCAGTTACACCAATTCTGTCAGGAGGAATGGGCCAAAATTCCTTCAAACTATTGTAAGAAGCTTGTGGAAGGATATCCAAAACATTTGAACAAATTTATACAGTGGAAAAGCAAAGCTAAAAAAATACCAAGGAAATGTGTGTAAACTTTTGACTGTCTAGAAATTAATACAAAATTCTAAAGAAAATCACTCATTATTCTGGCATTTAGCAAATGTAAATCATTTAGGTAATCCTAACGGACCTAAAATAGTAAACGTTTGGTATAATTTACCATCAGACTTTTTAAAAAAATGGTTATGTTCCTTTTTTTAAAATGTATGTAAACTTCTAGTTTTAACCGTATATGCACTCAACAGTTGTATACACACACCAACAATGTGTTCAGCTTATCCAACAAATGCTGTGTACAAATTCAGTTTCACTTTCGATTAAAGAAACACACTGTGGAATGTTAATTGAAACATAAATTCCTTTTGAAATCCAAACAAATTTAAACTGATATGCTTGTCAAACTCGGATGGTCATCTGCAAAACATCATACATTATAATCTGGCCTTCATTAACACTTCAAGTTTGTCCTACTGTGTAACACGTCACATGACATTGTAAAGCTTGTACCACTGTATCACAGTAACAACTTCAACATGACTGCTGTCTATTAAATCAATGCACAAACCATTACTGGTACCACCGCAGTACATTTATTATGGTCCCATGCATTACATCAAACATCTCAGGCCAGTACGAACTGCCAGTTCGTGAGCAGGATTTTGATTCCCTTGATTACAGAGACCACAGATGTGGCAGGGTTCAACTTCAAAGTGTTCGCATCGCCTTTCTTGCATTTGTCCCTAAAAACATAAATGCACCCATTGCAGCTGGCCACTTTCCATAAAGATGGCACACAGCTCCAAACTTCAGGGAAGCGCAACCTCGTGAAACTGTCCAGCAGTGGGTTATAACACACCAAAGAGTCGCCCTCTGCCACCACAAAAATAAGGTCCTTATGAGCGGTGGCATGCATGCATCCAGCAAAAGGCAGCATGTAGGGCTTGGTCTGGCACCTCTGGGTGGCAGTCTCAAAGCACTGTATAAGGCGAGAAGGCTTGGTAAAGAAGTCCATGTCATTTTCTTCTCCACCCAAAAGGTAAATGGTACCTCCCAAATTGACTCCGGCTGCACCTGATACTGCCGTGTCTAGCTGAGTGGTCTCTTTCCATATGTTGTCCTTTACGGTGTAGCAAATGACGGCGTTTGAGAGAGTGTCCTGAAGGGTTTTGCCTCCCAATGAGTATATGGCGTCCTCTGTGGACACGGACACGAGCGTGTGGTGGAGACGGTCCCGGGGCAGAGGGGCGCAGCGTTCCCAGTCCATCGTGTGCATGTTGCATTTCCACATGCGTCGCGGTATGGAGCCTCCTACAACATATAGATCCGCCCCATGTTTGCAGGCAGCTGTGATCTGGTGGCACAGACTGTTCTGGCCGCTCACACTGATGGCGTCGTCCTCGTCACAATGAAGAGACACTGCTAGTGAGTGTGTGCGTGTGTCTTCCTTTCCAATTAGGTATATGTGCACTTTTTCCCCAATCTCCTAAAACACAACAAAGTAAATAATGAGCATGCAAAGTATGTAATGCTAATAAAAAACTGGTGTGTTTCTGAAAACCATTGTTAGCCAACTAAGGTCGCAAGTTTCGTTGGTACAAACATGGTTCGTTAATTTGATGTTTTTTCACAAATCCATCGGTCCAAAGAACATTCGCAAACTGCGTTGAAAACTTGTACACTTGCAACTACACCTCTAGAGCTGTAGTAAGAAGCATAGTTCCTGGTTGTGTTCTATTCAGTTATCCGCTCCTATGCCCTATTTGTTTTAAACGCTCCAACATTTAAACTTGGAATGATGAAAAAAACATCACTCTTAGGTGAATTTACTTTTAAAAGTATTTTTACAGTTCAGTTTTAGCGATCTTTATATTGACAATTGTGCTCCCTTCGTAGTGCACTTTGAGAACGATTATGTCATTTTGAACACAGCTGTGGCTCATGACGAAAGCTATAGGTAGACTCACAGAGAATCTGTGCACGCAGAAATCCGCAGTGTTTCACAGATTTGTAGCCCATCATTGATTCTATTTTTACTTGTGTTATTGTGTGTAAATTTATATTTATTCAGTTTTTTTATTCATTTCACTAATATTATGATATAATAATAGTATATTAAAATGTTTATAAGAATGGTTTACAAAACAGTTTGTGAAGTAACAATTTCTGTCTTTTTGTAGATATATTAAATGACACTTGCTTTGTTTAGCAAATAAGTGGATCTCATTGGATTTGCATTGTAAACACAATAAATAATAGTTAAAATGTATTATTTATTATTTATAAATGAAGTTTTTAGTTATGAAACTCCTAAAATCATTCAACACAAATCCGCAATTTTTTTTTTTACAAAATTCTTTGCAGAAATAGCAAAAAAATGTCTGATATAATTAGAATCTGTCAGGCCCTAGCTATAGGTAACCTATTATTTAAAAGCAGATTTTACATTACCTCTCCAAAGCTTGTGAAAACAAAATATATATTTATTATCGGTTAATGGTTTTAATTTATAGTAGGTTATTTAATAAGAAATGTATCTGTAGCCTACTGTATATAACATGGGTCTATTGGTTACAAAATTTCTGCAGTGGTTTCAATGTGTCAAAGATGTAAAAGTGGGTTGCAGCTGCTCCGTAAAACATCGACTGGATAAGTTGGTTCATTCCGCTGTAGCGACCCCAGATTAATAAATGAATGAAAAGAAAATGAATGAATGATAAGTTGTAAAAGTAGACTTTTAAAAAAAATTCAAATAAATAAATATACAAACATTATCCTACTTAATAATAATAATAAATTAATAATATGAAAATAATAATAACTATAATTATTGTTGTTATTATTAAGTAGGTTTTTTTCATTTCTTAAATAGCCTAGTGTAAATTACAACCATTAACATTTTATAAAATGTATACTAAATGAGATTATATGTTAGCTAAGTGTTTTTATGTTTTAGAATAGAATATGGAATATTCATAATATTTGTAAAGGAAACATAGGCCCTATATGTGACGTTTACATATATTTCAATTAATATGGAAAACGAGTGCATGTTTTTACCAAAACTAGCCTAATGTTGCATTTAAAAAAAAAAAACATATTTGTGTGCGTGTAAAACAATATAATTTGCACAAAAAAAAAAATCTCTTAAGAAGTTGTAACTCCGCCCTATTTAGAGCATCATTATGGATATTTTATGTTATAACCAACGTGGATCAAACAATAGATCTGCAACAAAGCAACTATGGTTTTGGGAAACACTCGTCACTACATTGCTGCTCATCCCTACAATGTAAACAGTGCAATTGCAGAACAATTAGAACACTAGAACAATTTGTTAGAATTAAAATATGTTAAATTATTTTCTTTTTTAAATCTTATTTAGTCAACATAGCCCTAAACTGAGTTAAATTGAGTGAAGGGGAATACATCAAATTTGGTTGCATTTGTTCGCTCTGATTATGAAATTAAATAATTAAACTATAACCTTAACCGGCCACACATTATTTTGATGGTCTGTTTGTTGAAGTTAAGTTACATTGCATCTACATGGTGTAAGAATTGAAATATTACAAATATTTTTGATGTCTTTGACAACTCAAAACACGAGCTGAAAACAGAGACTGGTAACTTCACAACCCAGCAAGGGGGAATGCGGGAAAAACCAGTTCCTGCTGCATTTGCATCCGAGTATGCTGAAACTCAGCTTCATCCCCCCATCTCACACATATGGTCATTTCAATGTTTGAATGTTCTAGATTAACCAAACTGACTTTAATTATCATGTTTGATATCATTTGAAATGTCTCAGTGCGATTGGTACAATGGTCTCATTCTCTCAGAAATAGACATAATCAAAACAATAAATATATAACTTCAGGAATCTTTTGAACCACTGTGAAGGGATTAGACTTTCCCTTTTGTTATTCACACCCCCTTCCTTGAGAGAATTCTTGGATTATTTAAGGTAAGGGTTGAGAAAGACTCAGCTCGATTCTGCCTACCCAGATCAGCCCATAACATGGAGCCTAGGCTCCACGTTATGTAAAATTTACACGTTATGTAAAAAGTCAGGAATGCATCTTTTAATCTTGGATTTATCTTTGATAATTTGATGTTTTGTATTGATCGTTTATGAATTGACTGATTGAATTTGGCATAATACATTTACCTGACTAATAAATTATGTTTTGAATTATTCAAACCTCGTGTTATTATCACTGATAAATGTTGTTGTCCATAGCACTACAAGCCACTGTACAGGTTAGTAACGGACTAAAACATGTTAGACGGAGCAGCGTGGCACGCTATACAATGTTGGTAGAGATCCGACTAACAAATTGGCATTTATTCATGTATACTTGGACTGTAAAAGGCCAACTATTTAGAACAACAAAATATTGTTGAAACTACTTTAAATGTGGATATTTAGGCCTTCATTTACAATAGTATAATCCTGCGCGATTATTATTAAAATACTTTGTCTTGAATTAGTAGATAACAGATCTATGGGGACCACATAAAAAATCTCCTAAATTGAGTAAGTAGTGTTCTGCCTTTCTAGGAGAGTGGTTAATCGCCTCTGTTTAATGACCAAGACTGACAAGCTTGTATTAAGAGATTGTATACCCGGCCGGTGCAAGACTCGAGATGCTATCGGAATCTGAGTAAATGAGAATAAGGTATAATAACAAATCAAAAGAATATTCAATCATAATCTAAAATAATGTGAAAGGAAACAAAATAATCTTCTCAATGTTTTATAATTGGAGTCAGATAAAACGAGGATAAATATAGTAATATTCTAAACCACCTCATACTAAAATTGGAGTCAGATATGAGTTAAGTTTATTATAAATCAACATTGTGCATTGGAAAGACCGAACATGCAGTGAACCTTCATCCACCAGTGGATACCGTCATTGGACCAACTGGCTGGACCCTACAATGGCAACTAATTCTCATTAGATTATAAGTAGACTGTTAGGTTGGGGTTAAGGATTAGGGTTAGTGTAAGTTGACATGTACTTGCAAAGTTTCTTACAGTAAGTTAAAAGTCTGCTGAAGGAGCGGTATCAAAAGATATTAAGCAGACAGTCTACTTATACTCAAATGGACCCTCAAAATAAAGTGTTACCAATTAAACACACTGTAACCATGATATTCAATTGTGCAATCACATTGGCTTTCAGAAATAATATATTGCACCATCGTCATTTGTTTGTAGGAGAGAAATCTTTAAATTTCTTTAAAATCACAAAGAAATTCAAAGGAACAATGTGTTTGAAAACAGGACTAAACAAACCATCTCATCCATAGCGTTAACATACTAAAGGAGTGGATGATGATGTTCCTCGTTATTTGAGGTTATGAACGCACTTTATTCATGTAATTTCAGCTGCTGTAAACTGCTATCAGAGCGTTATGATTATTAGGTTTCTGAGTAAAACGTATTTTAGGTTATCCTTTATGTTAAATCTTTATGATTCAGGCTGAAGCACTCAAGGATGTGATGACATTTTTTTTGATACTGCATAACAAGAACAATAGCATGCAAAAAAATAGGGAGAATACAGCACTTATATAGGAATATAGTACATTTTTTTTATCAGTAGAGATTAAAAAACAAAAAAATTATTTTAAAAAAGGATGTGAGGACATTACGTCACTGTAAAGGGTGCCTCGCAGAATAAATGTATGGGGAAAACAATAAAATAGCCATCAAAAAAATTAACTGTTTAATAATAAAAATTATAATGATGATAATAATAAATTGAATATCATTTTAAGCATTATAACCTTCAGGAACAGTTACAAATTGTCTTTGCAAATAAAAATATACTGATAAAAAAAAAATACAAATTACAAATTCAAATAAATTACAAATTTAATATGTTTACTGAAATACATTTAAAAATAGATGTAAACAAAATAATCTAATAATTTATTTTAATGCATTTAAAATAATGTATTGGAATGGCAAATACGAATTTGCACTTACTGATCTAAATACACCAGCAAAAATAAACATTAGTAAAGCATTGATTTATCTGAATAATATATGCCATTAGTAAAGCATTGTGAGGGACAAAAGCATTTGTATGTATAAATACTGCAAAATGTCCATGCTGTCCAACTCTTAATCATTACTAACCTTTAGGCTGTCAAGAAGCATATCAGAATACTCCTCTCGCTCCACTTTGTTGTGATTGATCCAAGATTCAATAGCTGCGGTTGGATTTTGTGAGCTTGGCACACCATCTAAAGAAGCAGATATATATTTAAAATAAAAAATAAAATCTGACTTCATCTAATGCAAAAGCAATCTGCTATTCATTCACCTTTAATGATGTCCATGAGAAGGCACAATGGCAAATTCAGGAACTCATCTGTCTGGTGCAGCTGAACCAGGTGTATCTTTGCACAGTGCTTGGCAGCCGTATACAACTCCTGGTCACTGTGTCTGTCCGCCAACCACATCACCTGAAAAAAAGAGTGTCAGTAGTTTTACTAATGTTTCAGCTCATGAAAACATTTATGTCCACATTACAAACCATAGAATACCTGAAGGCAGTTCCTAACATCCACAGTCCGTGACAGAAAGCGGGAGCACTCCTCAAACAGAGCGGTGAGCTGATACATATCGGCCATTTCATATGTGTCCTGCAGATCTTCAACCCTCAGCTTGATCATCCCATGGTAGATGTAGTCCACCAGTGACTGGAAGACGGTTGCACTGACGTCCTTCAGCTCAATATTACGGTCATAAGCCTCTCTGAGGTTTGAGGTGAACATGGACCTGAAGAAGCTGCTTTGAGCCGACAGCACCAAACGGTGAAGCTGGAACTCTTTACTGTCCACAGTCACAATGACGTCTGCAAACAGCCCGTCCTCCAGGCACAAGTCCATGATGCTCTTCACAACACGGCTGGAATGGGAGCGATCAGTGAAGGTGTAGCCCTGGAAGTAGTTTTCATCCCCTGATGGACCTCCAACACAACCTCCATCCTCACCAGAATCCATGACACCTTCAATCTAAAGCTGCTTCACCACAATAGCAGATGAATGGCTCACTGGATCAGCTGTGTTTTAGATGGGTACATTCGTGTAGTTTAGTTAATAGGGTAAGACACTAATTGGGCGTCAAAGTAGATGATACACTGATGTAAAGCCATATTTTGCAACATTTATGAAGGAACTGCTGCTTGCTATCTACATGAACACTATTTAAGTCAGATTTAGATGATGAATTGGGTTAATAAGGTTGTAATAACAACGTGTAACTGAATGTATTGTAGATTTTGACTTAGCAATTCGCTAATCAAATTGTGTCCATCTAATTTGGCCAGCTACTCTAAGCAGCTAATGCTAACATAAACCAGGGTCTACTTAACTTTCACGATCCTAACGAGTGCTCAATCAAACGCAGGATATAATAATCCCAGGTGTAAGAATTATTCGCGTTCAGAAAAAATTATGTATGAATGTTAGCATGTGTTAAATCTTAGCCATACCAGAAGACTGCTTGTGAAAGTGAAGTGAAGCCCAGGAAGTAAACAGCACATTTCTTCGCAGTGACGTCACCGCACGTTTACGTGGCTCTGCTGCTCCTGTGTGTTGGAGGTCTGTCATTACATTACATGTGGTTTATTGTTTTGGTGGATGAACTGGATTTATTATATATATTTTCCTCCCACCCATTTTTTTTCTTTCACCCATTATTTTTTTTTTACCCACCCATTTTTTTCTCCCCCACTACGTCCCTTCCGGGGTTCCGTAATACATAGGTTTTATTAAAGTGTTAACATTTATTTATTTAAAGATCTGTAATTAATGTAAATATAAATAAATATAATATAAATACTGTAATTTAGATGTAAATCTTGGAAATTACGAATGTTTCCATATGTTTAATGTATGTAATATGTCCCAAACACTAAAAAGCAATATTATACAGCTTTTCATAATTAAATATGATGGTCTGTGATGTTTTTTAATGGAATATGTAATGTAAATGTACTCCATGGCCCAGTTTGGCTCCAATTAAAGTAATCTGAATAAAAATACTGTCATTTAGATGAAAATCTTGGAAATGACAGGTGATCAGAATGTTTGCAGAACTGGTTTCATTTATTGATGTCTTCTCAAACACTAAAAAGCAGCATTATACATATTTTAATGGTAAATGTGATGTGATGTTTTTTATGAAATGTGTATTGTAAATGATGGTACTTTTTGCATGGCCCAGTTTGGCTCTAATTGTCTTTTATTTGTGTAAAGTAATTAATTTAATCTAAATAAAAAAAAACTGTAATTTAGATAAAAATCTTGGAAATTACAAATGATCAGAATGTTTACAGAACCGTTTTTATGTATGTAATATATCCTAAACACCAAAAAGCAATATTAAACAGGTTTTCATTAATAAATATGATTGTTTGGGATGATTTTAATTGAATATGTAATCAGAATGTTTACAGAAATGTTTTCATTTATTAATGTCGCCCCAAACACTAAAAAGCAATGATACAGGTTTTAATGGTTTATAATGTGATGGTTTGTGATGTTTTAATGGCTTATGTATTGTAATACATTGATAGTACTTTTTGCATGGCCCAGTTTGGCTCTAATTGTCTTTTTATTTTTGTAAAGGTCTGTAAATGTAATTTGAAAATAAAAATACTGTAATTTAGATGAAAATCCTGAAAGTGACAGGTAATCAAAATGTTTACAGAACTGTTTTCTTTTACTGAATGAGTCCCAAGCACTAAAAAGCTATAATGTACAGGTTTTAATTTTTAAATGTGATGGTCTGTGAGGATTTTATTGAAATATGTATTGTAAATGATAGTTCTTCAGTTGCTCTTTCTGCATGACCCAGTTTGGCTCCAATTGTCTTTTTCCGCAGGTGAAAAAATGCAGCGCACTAAAGACGGTCTCTCTCTCAGGGATTCAGCCTTTTTGTGGAGCTGAAACAAACGACGACTGAAGCTATACGTGAATTAAAGTGAATTTTATTTTTGCTGATATGCTGCTGACACAAATAAAAGTATTTGTTGTTTTGGGGATCTTAGGCATTAGAGAGCCCTGGAACACAACAGGTAAGGACTTTTGACACGATATGTGCTTCTGTTTAAGGTATTTGTTGTTTAATACACGTTGATTTAGATTGTAATTACAGTTATAGTGGTATAATAGTGCTACTAGATTTCATTAGCAGTTTGTTAGACTGTGGAACTGGCATGTGTGTCATGTTGGACTTGAGTTTTTCCAACTATGACGGCAGAATTAAAATATTTTGACATTAAATTACTTGAGCACATGGGGGGAAATAGTTACTCGAGCATTGTGCCGTGACTGTGGACAGTTTAATGCTTAAATTGTTTGTTTTGCATTATTCAAGCTTTTATACTTAATTGATGCACTTTCTGTTTGTCTCTCAAATATTTGTGTAATTTACGAGTCTCTGTGTGCTGTGCTGCAGATGTTTTAGCAGTTCTTCACGGAGGACTCGAGCCTCAAGAATCTATCAGATCTGTAGGTGATGCTAACCTGATGTTTGAGGTAAGAAAATAAAGCCTACATTCCACAAAGTCATTGATCTCTTGAAAAGTTGCAGTTAAGCACTGTAATGATAAAATTCCTCTCTGGCATAATTATTTCTAAAACAATACATTGAGTTATTTTGCATTGTCTTGCTCCATTTCCTTGCATTTCCATGCTCCCCCCCACCCCTAAAAAATATTACATCTTCAAATAAGTGTTAATATGAAATATGGACAACCTGTCAGTAGCAGTTTGCAGATGCAAATATGTTTACTTGAATATAGTAGTATTAACATTTTAAATTAAATATTAAAAAAAAATATTTATAATTTTAAATGTGCAGGATCACTAAACATTTCCCCCCAATACCTTTGGTTTTATTGTAGTTCTTATTGAGAGGACTGGAGATTGACGTGGACGATAACATTGTCATGCGGGATCAAGAAATAGCATCTATGCGACAAGGCCGAGCTTTTTTATCTCTTATAAATGACAATATCCCAAAGACTGCGTCTGCAATGGAGAAGTTACTGGCTGTGATGGAGGAGCAGGCCAACTCTTTTAATCAGGCCCATTTTGAGACCCTCATCCTCGGGAGCATCTATTCAGCTTATCAGGCCCGGTTCCACAGGCTGGAGTCAGAGCAGCAGGCCTGGAGCAATATACTTGGACGTCTTGCGAACGTAACTTTAGTTCAGCTACGCAAGTCTTAACTATCAATAAACATACAGCCGTTGAAGTAACTTTCTTTACCTGGTTTATGACATCACAGTTTAGTATTGATTTGATTTTCTTCAACCTGTAACTCAGTGTTTCTCAACCACGTTCCTGGAGGACCACCAGCTTTGCACATTTTCCATGTCTCCTTAACCACACAGACCTGATTCAGATCATCAGTAGAGACTGAAGACCTGAAATGAGTGTGACAAAGAAGATATCCAAAACATGCAGTGCTGTTGGTCCTCCAGGAACGTGGTTGAGAAACACTGCTCTAACTAATGCTTATTTTTGATTTGCAAATGCAATCCATATTTTACAAGTCAAAAAGACACATTTTTAACTGTAAAAAAAGGTACAAAACATTTATTATGAATGGAACATACATATTTAAGGTTTTATGAAAAGGCAACATGTGATTTTTTAATGATTTATATATTGACATGAGAACAAATGAGACCCAATTTAAATTTAGCATATTCTCTCACTTTTTCTTTGATTTGGATGTTTTGGATTCGGTCTTGCTCTTGGTCTTTGACTTGGTTTCTGTGGCTGAGAGTTTCTTCTTGAGCTTGGCCTCATCAGCAGCTGCTCTTCTGTCTCTGCTTGGACGCTGCTGTGAGCTGCGCTGGGATCTGGAACCTCCAGCTCTGCCTCCAACGTCCTCACCTGTCACTATTGTCTGTTTCCTATTAACACTGCTCAGTGTGTCCTCTCGGTTCCAGATCAAAATGTTAAAGCCTGCAATTAAAGTGTACAAATAGTTTAGATTTTTTAAATGTCTAACATGCTTAACTTTTATAATTGCAAACAATAAAATAAATAAAACTGCACCCATTCCAGACGCAAGCACATCCCCAGTTGGACTGAATTTGTTGAGCTGAAATAAAAAACATTTAAAAATAGTAAGAATTAAAAAGAAATCATGCTTCCCAAGGCTGCAATTATATATATATATATATATATATATATATATATATATTAGGGGTTGCACCGACTAATCCACTAGTCGACTTTAATGTTCTGCCGTGACACTTTTTGATTGACGTCGACTAGTCGCACTGCACAGACCACAGGTCTTAAAGCCCTAAATTTTGATGACACCAATAATACATTAAAATCAATTGGCTAAAGAGATGTTTGCTTGGTTCAGACTCTGTTGTATATTTTTACTAAAAATATTTTTAAAAAGATAGAAACTTTCTTTTTTAATAAAGTGCAATTACTCCATTGGTAAATTACCTATTAAATAGCTAAATTCCATCAACAACCTCTATTAAAATGTGGTCACACTAGAGTTTGAGCTAGCAAAATTCTGTGGGACGGCACTGTGAAAAGGGGCGGGATTAAACAAAATGTTTAGACATTTATTAAAGCGAGCGATTGGTCCAAATTTTAAACTTCTGTCTAGAGAGGTCATGTTTTGATCTTGATCTATTGGTCTTACGCAGTCAAGTGATGCGATTTCGCAGGTTAGAGTTTACAAAGCTTGAACTTTGCAACGCAGCAAACTGCGAAATGTGTTGCACAAGCTTGCATTTCCGGTGTGATGCATTCGTGTGCGTATGAATGTAAGTCTGTGGAGAAAGTCCAGTGTGACTGCAGCTTTAGCCTGGAAACTGATTTACAATCCCAATTTCTCATCCCACAAAACCATTTTATGGAATAATGCAGACATTGAGATATTCATTCATTGTCTTGTCGGCTTAGTGGATTACTATGTCTGATGAAATCAGCTCGTAGTTATGAGACAGGTTCCAAACTATTGTCACAGTTCTGCCTAAGAGGAAAATCTATTCTTAGTAAAGAATGCAATAAGTTTGTACATCAATTGTCCCAGTCACAAAACTCAATTACACCTAGAGGAAAGTTTTTGGGGTTCTATGATTGTTAACATTCAATGGACAAACATGGTTATTATAGCCATATAAATTCTGTATTCCTAATAAAATAAAAGAGGTGCAGAATAAAACTTTTGCACAATATTTACCCATGTAATGCACTTTTATTCTAATATTGTGTTGTTACTGAGATTTGCACTTTTTGTATGAAGACATTTGTCACTTGTTTCTTTTATGCAATGTATCATCATTGTTTTGGAATGATTTAGGTGCATATTGCTTTTCCAATGTTAATATGAGTGGTAATTTTCACCTTAACGGTTATTTGTTATTTTGAAAACCAAAACAAGTTGTTAGAAGCCACGGTAAACTTTCTTATACTTGCTGGAAAATTTTATTTCCACAAACAGAGTTTTTTTTAATCACATTTTTATAGACTTCTTATGTGAAATAGAACATTTAATGAAATCACTTAGATTAATTGATAATAAGAAATGTGATTCTGTCTCGAGTAAATATGATGAGATCTTTCATGCTACTTCAATTTTTTATGTTTTTATATTGCATTATAATAATTGCATTATATTGCATATTGCAAGTTGCATGTTTTTTTATGTAATTTTTTTGGCTTTGCTCTTAATCCTGTTTATCCAATGTGAATATTGTGTAAAAGAACTGTTATCTTTTACTGTATTCTAAGTTGTATTATACGGTTACTTGAAAGAAAATAAACAAAACTGTGCAGATCACATGTTTTTTGACCTGAACGTAGCTTTACACTGAACATATCTGAATGTAGCTTTACACATAAAGATGGTTCACAGAATTAAACTGCCTTCAGATAATTAAAAGTCATTTTTAAAATGTTCTTATGCCAACATCAAAGATTCACTTGAACGTTAAATCATCAAACAGATGCCAGTTAGATCGCTCCATGCAAATACCCTAGAGCAGATGCTAGCCAATCGGGTTTACGCAACCCTGGAAAAGCAATGTGATTGGCTGTTGTTCTCTGCGAATCATAGACGTGGACATATTTTGTAAATGAACCGTGAAGCGCGCAGACACCTTGAAGAACACACTCAGTATACATATAGTTGAAGTTAGAATGATTAGTCCCCGTTTATTATTTTCCCCAATTTCTGTTTAACGGAGAATAAACAGACATTTTTTTTACGCATTTCTAAACAATAGTTTTAATTACTCATTTCTAATCACTGATTTATTATCTTATTATCTATATTATCTTTGCCATGATGACAGTAAATAATATTTGACTAGATATTTTTCAAGACACTTTTAAACAACTTAAAGTGACATTTAAAGGCTTAACTAGGGTAATTAGGTTTACTAGGCAGGTTAGGGTAATTAGGAAAGTTATTGTAAATTGAAAATGTAAAAAATGTATAGCTTAAAGGGGCTAATAATTTTGACCTTAAAATTGCTTTAAAAAAATTAAAATGCATTTATTCTAGTCAAAATAAAACTTTCTTCAGAAGAAAAAATATTATCAGACATACTGTGAACATTTCCTGGCTCTGTTAAACATCATTTGGCAAATTTATTATTATATTAATTTCAACCATTAAACAATTACATTAAAGATTCCAACATTTGAGTGGTAGCATGGTATAGTATAAATAGTTAAAAAAAACAACAGCATGCTTACAGATATGATACCAGCTGCATTGGGGTCTCTCAGCTGGTGCACAAGTCCACCACTGTTGGCATCATAAATGTCAATAGTTCTTTTATCATTGAGTAATAGTTGATCATCTGGGTAACGGCCAGCCACAATGAGGTCATACATGGGATGCCAGGTTGCCTGAAAAAATAGAAAAATGGAGCAAAGTATAACCATGATGTCAGCAGTCCTGTAAAGAAAGAAATGCATTAAATTTCTAACCTTGATGGGAGTCAAGTGCTGAAACTGCCGATGAGGATGAATAATTATTTGATCCGGTTTAGACCAGTCGTATGAACTGTACACCCTGATCTCATTCCTCTGATCAGTAGTAAGCAACTTGGTGCTGTCTGTCGGGTTGAAGTATGCTGACAAAAATAGTTCATTTGAATGTATTAGTATTTAAAGCTACTGTACAGGTGACTTTCTCCTTTCCTCACTTTTCTGATAATATGGTCCCTTACCAGCATTGACTGGTTTTTCATGAGGCATCTCAGCGATGTAACTGTTTTTGTCTTTAATATTCCGGAGGTCCCACAGCTTGACTGTAGCATCAACAGAGGATGTTGCCATCAGCCAATCACAGCGAGGGTTGAATTCGGCATGGGTCACTTTGGCTTTGTGCAGCTTCTCTTTGAAAATCTAAATATATTTTTGGGCAAAAAAATTAAAATAATTGAAAAATATAAATCAACTCTCAACAGCTGTGTTTCCCAACCCTGTTCCTTAAGGCACACCAAAAGTACCCATTTTAACCTCTTTCTAATCAAACACACCTGAATCAACTCATCAGAACATTAGAAGAGACTCCAAAACCTGAGGTTAATGGGTCAGATAAGGGAGACATCCAAAATATGTACTGTTGGTGGGCCTCCAGGAACAGGGTAGGGAAACACTGCTCTACACAATAGTAATAAAAACCTTAAAATGTCCCTGTCCCCCCATAAACATGAAACAATATAAATAATCAAATAAATAAGAGCACAAAGAATTATCTTAATAAATAACGTGCATGTTGCCATTAAAAGTAACAATAGTTTATCTTTACAACCAAAAATCTTATCAGGGATATTTAGAAAAATAGAATAATTTGATGACATATTAAGACTTTTATGGATCCAAAATACTAAGTTACAGCATCAAAATACTAATTTCATTTGCATTTTAAATATTTTATTTTGCCACCATCCTATAAATTATTAGGCCTTGTACAAAATGTATTTTAGTATAACATCTTCAGGCCATGTCAGATCACACAATTTTTATCTTCGGATATTATAGTTACTATGTCAGATTATGTGATAATTTTTCTTGATAAAATCTTGACTTGTGGTGGGTGACCAGACTACATGTTCCTTCATGATCAGTCATTCCTTGTTGTCTACATTGAGCGTTTTGTCTAAAAGCAGTCACAAGTGTGTCTATAACTATTTTTCTTTTAATCTCAATTTCAATGTTTTTATTTCAATCTCAATAAACATTGAAGATTGCTGACAACTAATAACTACATTATTTGAGGGCATTCGTTATGACATGGATAGGATCAATCTTATAATTAATTTTTACTATGAAGATATTTTCTTTAAAATCTAAAATGTATATTTTCCTGCC